TGCTGCTGCGGGAGCTCTTGGTGCTGAGCGAACAGCAGGAGAGAAAGCTGATGTGCGACCTGCTCACGAACGAAGTCTTTCATTTGTGAGAGAAGGAGGGAGTGGTCAGGCACGACGTCCAGTGCAGCGAGTGGTTGGTTAGACTAAGATGGACGACGGGTTGCCGTCGCAATTCGCCGTAGCTCGGGCACAGAGTTATCACTTCGGACACCGTGCCAAGAGACTCCGCAAGAAGCATTTGAAACACGTCATCATCGACACCCTTCATAATGTGCTGGATCTTGGCACTTTCACTCACTGCAGCATTGACACGCCTGCAGAGATCTAGCATGTCCTCGATATAGGCGACAAACGCTTCACCTGGTTCTTGTGCCCGTGTACCCAAGCGTTGTTTGGCGTGCAACTTCCGCAGGGCAGGGCAGCCGAAAACAGAGGATATTGCCTGCTTAAAAGCGGCCCAGTTTTCGAACTTTGATTCGTGGTTTGTATACCACAGCTTTGCCACATTAGCCGGGTAAACAGCATCATCCCACCTGTTTGGTCCACCGACTTTTTCGTAGGATGACAGCCAGTCCTCGACGTTTTGATTTTCCGTTCCCGCAAATATCGGGGGGTCTCCCTGGCGAACGGGGCCAGGGCAGGCGACGGTCGAGAGAGGTGGTGCTTGTTGGGGAACGTTGGCTTCCATAGTCGGTGGCAGTGTGCGGGACCGCAATTCCAGGGTGCACATTGTGTGGTACCCAGCACGATCCACCAAATGTAAAGGGGGTTTATTGAGCGAGCCGAGCAAGCGGGTGGTAGCTCGAAAAGAACGCAGGCGGACCAAGATGATGGTGCTCGATCGTACTGATCATAGTTCAGCCCATCATATTAACGTCTTTGTTCTTCATTATACAAGAAATATTTAACTTCTAAGCATAAGCATACAGTATGTCACAAATTGGCTACTTTTATAGAATTCATGAAATTGAAACTGCCTCTAAAAGAGAAAACTGGACGTTTTCTTAAAATGCCGTCACAAGCATTAGCCATAGCCAAATATACTGAAAAATTGCCATAGAAACTTGGAAAAGTGTGGGAAGAGCGTGATCACTAGGCTAGCTGTCTCAATGAAGTAACGAATTCATGCCATAAAATGATATGACAAGTCATAATGGCAGGATTCTGTGGTCCTTTGACACAATGGTTGAAAATATTTCTTCTTTCACAAGATTAACACTAACAATACTTTCTTCATGGCAAGAAGATAAAAAAGTTGCAGAAGCTATACTAGAAGTACCAAATGACCATCTTAATGGCTATACACGATTAAGTAAATGTATGCAAGTAGAATATGTGTGACAACTAATGAGCAATTTTTCAGATATGCCTGATCCCTTAGATGCTTTTATAAGGTGAATTCAGCTACACCCTCTGACAAGGGGCCTAGCCTCTTCTCTTATATAGAAAAAAAAAAAAGACAGCTTTGGAAACCTTATGTCCTTTTTCGTGCAGAGCAGCAAAATAGCAAAACAAATAAATTAATGACAACAAGATGGGGAAATAGACGAACACCACCAAGAACTGCTACATGACAATGGCAACAATGAAGATGATGGTAAAACAAAGCTGTGACAGCGAAGACAGTAATACAGTTTCATAATGATAGCAACAGTGACTTCATAACTTAAGAAGGTGTTGAGGTGAGCTCGGTGGTACAGATCCGTTAGAATACACAGTGCTCAAGGAACAAAAACACGAGGCAAGAAAAAGTAGATGCACGATCCCTCACGACAAATTTTTGAAATGTACGCTATGATGTACAAAGGCGCAGATTGCATCAGTGAATCTTTCACAGACGAGGAATTCCGATATCTCAGACAATGATCAAAGGCATCTTGGTCTTATGTCATCGTCACACTCATGTGCAAGGTCCTATATTCCCTTCCCTATTTCCCCTCTCTTTTTTTTTATCCCCCTCTTTATATACGTCAACGCAAAATAAACCAGCTCTCGTCTCATGTGTTCGTGCTCCTTGAACGCTATGTGCTTTAATAGACTTCATGGCAATGACATGACAACTGCATGAGGACAATTTCAACAACAGCAGTAGGCTGTGCTAAAAACCCACACTGAACAAGTATGCTTTGTTTCGAGTTGAACTAGTGCATAATGTGTAATTATCGTCATGTCAATGACCCTATGACTTCGAATTCTGTTAACCTCTTTAGTTTTCAATCGTTCAGTGATTAGGTTAACACATAAAAGAAGATGTAATATGCGATTCCAGCAGTAGCTCTAAGCATTGCCACAAATAGAACATTTTATCTAATTGCATCAAATAATGCAGCAGGCATTAATTAGTTTATTTTCGTCTTGATAGCTCTGATAATTCGACATTTGGCAAATCTAGACATTTTTTGCAGATCATGAAACTCATTACTGTATGCTGCCGATAAGTTGACTTCCAACTTGCCACCCCTACCAGGAAAAAAAAAAAGTTTACTCTGACCGCAGCCCTTAACTGCAGCCTTAGCTCACCAAGTTTTTCTGTGGTAATCATGCAACATTTATTTGTCTCGAGATATCGCTTACGAATCGACACTTGGAACGAATCAGTTGCAAGCACTGCCATTGTGTGAGCCACTGCTGTCGCTCACCATCAGAAGTGGTGCTGACAGTACAAAGAAGCCGCAGGTGGAAAACACTGCAGAGGCCGATTCGGCCGGTAGTCAATACCAGGTCTCGTTGACCTCTTGCATCACTTTGCTCAGAAACGTGTGCTTCAGCCACCCTGCCAGTGTCTTCCGGTTTTCCTGTTGAAGCCATTACTTGTCGAAGGCATCAATGCGACCTTTGAATGCTGTATTCAGGGCCACGTTTAGCAGACGAAGAATATACGAGTCAGTCCACCTGTCATGATGACCAGCTCACAAACAGAACTCAATACCACTTTCTTCGCTCGATCCATGATGTGGCCACGGAAGGTGTCCAGGATGAGCATCTGTGGGGCTTCAAAGTGCAAATCGATGCCTGTACCACACCACACAAAACCATTTGAGGTCTGTGTCATTATAACATACCTGATTTTTAGTTCATCTGCATGATTATTTTCAGCAGAAATTGTTCTTTTGTAGTGAATTTTTTCTTCTTGAACAGAAGAATAGTAGCTTGTGCTTGTTTGCCGTCCAGTACAGCATGACGAAAAACGGTTGAGTACATTGCCTATTGTCGGCAGGCGAACCTGGTGCTCCCCTTTTGCGGACACTGTCCTTTTGCTAGGCGTGTCAAGCGAGACAGGAGGCTAGGCGGCACTACCCATTTCACTCGGCAGGAATAAATGCTTGGCACTCAAGTCACTCAAGAAATCGGCAAACTGAAGTTCGCCCATTTCTTGGATGCCTTGAACTCTGTTTGCAGAATGCACATGTCCTCGCCGACAGCATGTGCTTTTGCTTCAATATCACTACAACTAACAATCAGCCTTTTGCTTCTCTCATTGTGAACCCAATCGCGAACAGTCTCCTCAACAGCAAAGTATCACGCCAACTTCGATCTGGGAAAGAAATTACTTGTAGCTGCGCACACAAAAATCTTTGTTTTCTCAATCTCCTCACACACTTTCCGACACGTTGAACTAGTGTCCTGTTGCAACAGAGTTTTTCGACTCAGTGTAGAGGATCACTTGCCGCTTGAAAGTAGCACAGTAATGTTGTAAATGTGGTGGTGGCATATTGGTATCTGTTGGGCAGCAACACAAATCACCCACATCATTGTTTGCAAGCGAAGTGAAATGCAGAAATGGTGAGCCAGCATGTATAAGGTGCAGGAACACAAGAAGATGCTAGTGGGTACACATGAATGGTCATGTGGTTTACTTCCCTTTGGTGCTGGCCCGCATGGCAGTGCCAGCATTTCTGTGGAGCATCCACAATTCTCTAACGGTATGAAAACGTACATTTAGAAAATTGTGGAGAATCAAAATTCGAAAGTCGTGCCTTTTGCCGCGAAGCGCCATCTGTCAAATGCAGGAAAAATCTTTTTGCTTATAGCGCCTCGCAAGCACAGCGGCCCGAGAATAATAAAAAAAAAACATGGCCTCCAAGATGGCAGGTGCCTGGCGAGTTTCTACGCTGCGCTCCTGCCATGCAGTGTCCACAGTGCCGACAGCGCGTTGCCTGCAACGTTTGTGCGCTGCCATCCAACGCTGCGTTCTTGCCCCGCCGCGGTGGTCTAGTGGTTAAGGCACTCGGCTGATGACCCGGAGGTCCCGGGATCAAGTCCCCTCTGCGGCGGCTGCATTTCCGATGGAGGTAAAAATGCTGTGGGCCCGTGTGCTCAAATTTGGGTGCACATTGAAGAACCCCAGGCGGACGAAATTTCCGGAGCCCTCCACTACGGCGTCTCTCATCATATAGTAATTTTCGAACGTTAAACTACACATCTCAATCAATCAACGCTGTGTTTTTGTTGTTGGGGTTATCATAGTGAACCTAGTTGAAGACACCTTCTAAGCAGGGCGCGTTCGTCCGGTACACTAGCTACACGACTGGTTTTAAACTTAAAGTTGGTCGAGCATGCGCTGGAGCATAGGAACGGAGCGGCTGGACGACAATTCGGCGTCGATCCAGGCACATTCGTTACGGAAGACAACAAGAGCTTCAGGCTACAAAAGGATTCATCGCGCATTTTGCAGGCCAGAACAAGCAAAACCGTCATGCTAAATTTGCTATAGCAAAACCTGCTATAGCAAAATTTGCTATAGCGTCATGCTATAACTCCCGAGACCTCTTTCTCCTGCGTAATGAAACCTCCCCCCAAATAGGCATCAACTTTTCTGAAAAAAAAAGGGGGGGGGGGGTCATTACACGAGTAAATACGGTATTAAACTCTGACACATGTTCAAATGAGCTACCAGCTCGCAGTAAGCACCGTACGTGCTGTACTGCTAATGCTGCAAGATTGTAGAAATGGGCTAATGCGTGGATGAACGCATGTAAAAAGTTAAAAAGCATACTCACGAAGGCACAAGGGGTGCCTGGAAACCGGCACTGATAGGCCTGGGTGGGGCTGCCGGGGGTGGCCTGCCCGCTGCATCGGGCCGCGATGGGATCACTGGGGCTGGCCGGCTGGCCGCCGCTGGGACTGGGGGGGGTGCCCGGGAAGATCCCACATTCCTCCGGGGACCCCCCGGGGAGGGAGGGGCCGGCCTGCACATCAGCAAATTGTCATTGTCACGATGCTCGATCTAAGCTTGCACTGATAATTGAGAAGTACTTTTTAAATTTCGAGGCAGTCATGTGTCCACACAGTTGTCAATCAATAATCCCATTGATTTAAGACATCAATTCACTATGTTTGTTGCCACTGTTTCAATTGATAAGCGGAGTAGCCACTGAGGCAGTGGCACTACGTGCAATGAACTCTCACTTTTCTCGCAAGAGGCCACAGTCATTTAGGAAATGAATGTGGTCGATAAAGCTAGTATTTTGCAAGTTATCTCGATTGGGAAGAAAAGAGGTGTTGCCTCTAGCACTATACCCTTTGTTTATGTATACCGCAGAGCTCACTCTCCATGTAATCAAAGCAGAAAAGAGCTATAAGTTAAATTCTTTATGAAAGGAATTGGAACAGACACTTTTGCCGCAAATGAGCTCTTTCTATTATGCACTGCCGGAACAAGTTTAATGTAGCCATCTGGTTTTTTTTTTTTTAGTTGCTTGCAGCTACTAGCTGCATTGCTACTAGCTCTAAAATTGTAAGAGTTTTCCATGATAAAGGCGACTTGTGTTGAACAGCAACGACCAAAATTCATCTCCCCGTAATGGGTCTTAATTCTTGAATCTTTGAACAGAGTCATGTGCAATGCTACAAAACCGAAAATGCAACTACCATAAAAAAACATGCTGCAATTAAATTTGTCACCCTGCTTTCATGCATTACACAGTTTTTTTCAACGTGCAAAGGTTTTTGATACTGCACATTTATCGGGCTCTGTGGAGACGTGGTTTGGTGAACGCTCAGGATAACATTCATGATTTTGATGGAAGCTGCGGTGGCAGGATGTGCGCAACAGGTTTGTTAGGTCATTCAATGTTCACCTCCGAAATGGGTTGGAACTCCGACTCTTCGGGCTTTATGTATGATGCATGGCCACGGTACGAGGACTTCAGAGAATGCATAACAAATACTACAATGCTTGCAAACTGAACTCACCGTGGAGAATCAGGGGGTTGCATTTTGAGCCAGTCATCCTTGACTGGTGGTGGTGTTGGCTGATAAGATGTTTGCATGGACACATCACCAATAATACGCAAAGCTTCTTTGCAGGCGTGGTACATGCGCAGCATCTCATCTCGCTTCTGTGCCTCTTCAGGACTCTCTTCCATGAGTTGCGTCTACACAACACATGCCAACACTATCAGTCACCGTCGAGGGACACAAAATACCATTCAGAGTGAACAGAACATTAATTAATTTATTTAGTTATTTATTCCTTAAGGACCCCAAACAAGGATATTACATAAGAGGTGAGACTACAAAAAATTGAAACACATTTATGTTGAGAAAAATGAGACATGTATAGCAGTACCCGTAAGAACCATGCTAACCTGTCAAGTTGACTACGCAGAGCAAGAGCAGCAATTATTAGCAGCACTTTTCAATGTAGCTTTAGTAATCCGATTCTGCAGTTTTACAAGCCAAAACCATAATATGATCATCAGGTATGGAGTAGAGGGGGTTTCCAAATGAAATTTAACTGCCCAGGTTTTTTTTTAATATATTTTATTTATTTATTTATTCAGATACCTATAGCGCCCAACTGGGCAATGCAATGCAATGCAATGCTGAACTGGGCAATGCAATGCTGAATCTAAACACAAGAGCGTTTTTGCATTTGATTGGTTGATATGTGGGGTTTAACGTCCCAGAACCACCATATGATTATGAGAGACGCCGTAGTGGAGGGCTCCGGAAATTTCGACCACCAGGGATTCTTTAACGTGCACCCAAATCTGAGCACACGAGCCTACAACATTTCCGCCTCCATCGCAAATGCAGCCGCCGCAGCCGGAATTCGATCCGGCAACCTGCGGGTCAGCAGCCGAGTACCTTAGCCACTAGACTGCCGCGGCAGGGCAACATTTTTGCATTTCACCTCCACCAATACATACACATATTTTTGGATGACTGAAGACCATTAGTTTAAAGTAACAAAGAAGCTCTTAGAACACAATGTTTGGCTATTAAAATTTTAAAATATAAAAGTTATAATGTAAAATGTAATGATGATCGGTATTTCTTGTGCCACCTGCGACTGCTTGTATATTAACCTAATGGGAAGGGAGGGAGCCAAATGCCACACAATATGCCACAAAGACCTTTTAACATGGTGCTTCAACTCAAAGGCCCTCATTCCCACTTGTACCACAAAATGTGTGAGCCACCATGCTGGACTGAGTGACATTTATACTGCCACACTGTGCATGCATATCTGCCCATTCGTAGCAGATACTACAACAGTGTTATTCATGCTTTACGTGTGTATTCTTTCAGTCAGTGCTTTCTTTTTCCCCATTTTGTTGTGAAGAAAATTCACTAATTTTACTGCATTTTCGCTGTCTGCTGCAATTGTTTATGAATAATACACAAAACCATTTGCAATTACAATTTTCCCAAGTCATCAAGTAAATTTTGGCAGGGCTCAAAGTGAGCAGAAACCTTTGACTCAACAGTAGAAGCCATGGTACTGAGACTTTCACAAATGTCCAGATGATAAAAGCCCTCCGAGTGAAAATGTATTCACATGATACATGTGTACAACTTGGATCTACTACAACTACCACCAATATAGCTGTTCTTATACCTGCAATACCTGCCACTTTTGCAAACTCTCTCACAGACTGAAAAGCTGGAGTAGCCTTTCTCTGCCTTCCCTGTGAATCAATAAACCCCCTGAGCTACAGTAAAAACTTGGTAAGGTAATTTTGGTTTATTTCAAATTTCCACGAGTAATTTTCATAACTAGTTGAGTCACAAAATTTGCAATACCAAGCAATGAATTATTGTAATAACCTGTGCACACCCAACCCATCTAGGCAATTCACAGTTTCCTGTTGCAGACTACAGAGAAAAGGACAACATGACGGCCATACATGTCTACAGCTGCTACAGTCGCCAATGGCACTTGCGGTACGCACAAGCATAGTTGCAGATATTGTATTCTATAAGAACTGTCGCTGGCCCTGCAATTTGGATGTCCATCAGTGATCAGACAATAGATTCCAAATATTGAAATAAGTAGACCACACAGCCTCATGACGCAACTAGGTTGTCTAGTCTGTGTAGTGGTGCAAACATTTGTGCCCAGACCTACCCATTACATAAAGTGTAGAAGCATAGCACCATCACTTTGGCGCCTTAGCTTTTCTTCTCTTTCTTTCTCCGTCTTGTTGTGTCTGTGGCTGTCTGCAGGTGCGTGGGTGCATGAGTGTGTGCGGATGTGTAAGCAGTTATACCACATCAGTTATGTTTTTCTCCGGTGCTGGTGGGTGGTCAATATACGGTTCCCAACTCTATAAAGAATCTGTCAGGCCTGCGGTTCTAGTGCATGGATCCGCAATGTCTAAATATGTACAAGACTGACTGAAGTAAAGAGTATGCTAAATTTAGGAGATTGAAAAGTGCCCCAAGAACCCGGTTTCCAAGAAATTGGTTGCCTCAGTTGATGCTTTCAACTACCTCAAAGAACAAAGTGATGCTGAGGCAGAAACGAAAATTCATGCATCAAATCTATCTGAATCTCTTTCCCCACCTACTCACATCAAGGCTACTTGGCCAAGCATGAAACAGGCATTAATAGCTACATAAAGTGCCACTCTGTGCAGTGTGTACAGGCGATGTAATAGGCAATACTAAAAAAATGTTCCTTTAGGCACTACAATTTTAAAGGTGTGTCATCCCTTGTAGTATTACCGGAAATGAACTTTGCTGATTGTTGCACCTATCTAAGCACTGGAATAATACAGCTAAAAAAAAAAATATTGCTTTTCCTATCTCTCCTTCATTCCAAATTGAACTTTCCTCAATTTAGCATTGTCCTGCTGACTGCAATTTCAATCTATGGGAGTCTTCCTATATCACACAAATACTCGGGGGGCATAAGTTTCCAGAACATGAGATTTGCAAACAAAGCTGCATTTTCGCTCAGCAGGAGAGAACAGCGCTAATATTAAGTTACACACTGAAGTAGGTTTTATGATGTACTCAGTTATCCATTAAATTAGAAGGGTAAGTGATTAATAGAGCAGAACTTTGTAGTTTCTGTGGGGCCTGTTCACAGAAATTTTTGTTTCCAGTAGTAAACACATAGCTTCTAAATAAAGCAAATCAGTCGGCAAACAGATTTATTTAGTTATCCACACAAACCAAACAATGTGTGCCTGCCAACCATATCAATTTTACTATGGTGTCCTAATTGTCTACACACACTTCACACTTACAGATTTATTTAGTTATTTATCCACACAAACTGACCAATGTCTGCCTGTCAACCATATCAATTGTGCTACGGTGCCCTAATTATCTGCACACACTTCACACTTACAAGGCTTTCAGGAACATGAGTGCACTTTCATGAGCTACAAATGGAGAAGATTACTGTCAGCTGGCATATTGGTAATACTGCTTGAACAATGTAATTAATCTGCTGCATCTTATCAGCAATGCCGACCATGCATTCTCACAGCTTAGTTTGCTATGTCATACTAAGTACTATTCAATATATAATTATTCAAAACTGTGTTACCAAGTACATTGAACAAACTATAGGCTTCTTTGCACTCATTCCCACCTGATCAGGTCAAGAATTCCAATGCCTGTGAGGCCAGAACCCAAAAGAACTTCAACTAGGCACGAAATGCATATAAAAATTCATATAAAACTTTTGTAGATATTATATCACTGAATTACACTAAAATATAGAAATAGTGGCATTATATCCTAGCACGGCAGTATAAAATATACTGAAGTAACTTATTCCTTACCTGATCTCCTGAAGCATAAAGAGCAGCTAGTAGTTCTGAATAGATGAATTCTTTAGTCTGCAAAAAAAACCACAAAAGCACAAGCTCAGTTTAACGGCCTTTCATACCAACTATGCCATACAAATAGCAGTGCGAACATTTGACACATTCAAATATTTCCACAAAAGAAAAGTGAGAAAAAGCAACAACCTCCCAAAATCACTAAAAAATTTAATTCACCCCACCCCTTCACTAAAAATAAAAATAAATTACTGTGTTAACATTACACTCTTACTGCCACTGAATGCTAAGCACTAGCCCCCCCAAACAGTATCAAAATGAAGTCTGCATAGTGCTGGGTGAGTGAAACAATATACTGCAAGCATGTGGCTGATGGCCCTTTTAACGTACACTGCCGTTCTTTATGAAAGGGAACACACGATCGTGTGACTTGCTCTCTAGAACGGCTGCCTACAGTATCTTGCAGTGCTTGTCTAGCGGCCACAACTCGTTTCTTTTTTGCCAATAGATAATGCCGAAAGCCAACGTCTTTTTTTTTTGCTGTCGGTTTACGATGATTCTGTAGGCAGCCGCTGCAAAGCGCAGGCGGCACACTCACGTGTTCCCTTTCATAAAGGCATGACAGTGTACATAGACATGATGAAAAACTGATAAATTTCAGCACAAGGTGAGGACAAGAGCTATCTTGATACACCATGACTGCATCCGGTGTCAGCATCTGTTAAGTGTGCATATCATTATGTCACCAAAAAACTGAAACCCTTCACGCTGACGTGATGTGCCCCTCGAAGCAACTACACTACAGCTGCTTTCAGGACATGCGACGACTCTATATGCATTAAAAATAATTTCATGACATGCTAGCACGGCATATAGAGTGAGCACGTATAGGGCACCAGCATTATACTGTGCACTAAGAAAAACAAAAAGGAACAGGCAGAGAAGACTCATGTCAGATTTTTCAAGAAAAAACAAACTAGAAACAAATGAGCAAAAATCAAAGAGACACTAAAAGCAACTATTAAGTCAATGTTGGTTGTTGAAATAGCGTGCCAGAAACCTCATAGTGTTACTTTTGTGCCAAGGAAGGACATATTTTGAATTAAAATCATGTTTTAGTGGTTCGCATCGGATTAGCGCACTTCAACTTACCCGCCTCAAGAAACGGTCCATCTCACGTCACTGTTACCATGCACAACGTTGCCCGGCACATCGCACACTAACGGCAGCAGAACGAAAACGAAAGCAGAGGGAGCCGAAGCAGCAACAATGGCCATTAATCAATTTCTTGCCATTGACTCCGAGATGGCAGACGTGATTTGGTTCAACTGAGCCCTGATAAATGGCAGGACCCGTCCAGTTTTAACCATGCGGAAATTGTATTTTTGAACCACTCGTGCTATTCCCCACAGTAACGTCCGGCGGTTCTTTTTTTCATGAATCAAACAGAAGCGAACAAGCAGCAGTTTATTGCATCTCTTGATGCATGGAAGGTTCTTTATTTAGTGAACCTAGATCGATTACCAGTGATTAAATGTAGGCGGTTCGTCCGACGTCATCGGGATCATTTTGAGAATGTCCTACTGTGATGCATGTATTCTTGTGCATTTGCCTCAATTTCTTGGCAAGTAGGGCACTGCTACTAATAATATTGTCGTTTTAGATGTCATACATTGGGCTTTCACTCTCACATAAATTGTTATTTGACTTTAGTGTCCCTTTATGCAAAAGATCCTTGTTTTTGGCCTTTTTAACATACTACTTCGTAATTTATTGTGCCCCTGCAAGATGCAATGTGCATGAAAGTACAAAAAATGTTCATTAGAATCCTTTAGAACACGCAGTGAACCAGCTTCTACCATGACGGCAACTATGGCCACATAACACAGCATGGAATACGAGTATGGTTAGAAAAAGAGAGCTTGCACTGCTCCACAGGCATTGCACAAAACACACACACCACTATTCTAATGTCAACAGGATGCAGTCGCCACGAGTCTAATGCTCTCAGCCTCAAAATATCTCACAATGAACCAGCTCGCTTTTGCAAGTGCTCACTGGCAGTACAACATGTACAGGCAAGCGCTTGCTCCCGGTATCGCAATGCAATCACTGAGTACTGTACGAGAGCCAGTTGTCAAGTAACATCCCCAAAATCACTAAATGATTATGAGAGACTCCTTAGTAGTGGGATCCTGAAATTTCGACCATTTGGTGTTCTTTAATGTGCCCTTACATCGCACAGTACACGGGCCTCAAGCATTTAGCCTCCATCGAAATATGAACGCGCCGTGGCCAGGACTGTATCTGCAACCTTTGGGTCAGCAGGCAAGCACCCTAGCCACTGATCCACCAAGGCGGACTTGTTGAGACTATGAAGCATCACAATATTTACAGAGATGAAAATAAGACATCCATAAGTGCTATGCATCCACAAGGCTACCACAGCTAGTTACAGAGCAAAAAAAAAACAGGATTATGGAAGAGACTGATACCCATTCTGGAGCACTGTACAGGCCAATTTTTCCAGCCCAGGGCCCAAACAAACAAATGCAAAGCAATGACAATGCTTAGGGGTTTTGCTAATTTTCATGTCAAAGCTGTTTAGGAAAAACACTTAGATTAACATTTTAGACCTTCTCATACGCTAACTTTGGCAGCATACCATTGCTGTGCAGCTGTTTACCTACAACGTAATTAATCACAAGATACCCAAAAGCACATCTGGTTCAAAATTATGCAAGGTAGATATTTATACAATGTAGTTTCCAAAATTACATAGGGCTTAACAGCACCTTGAATGAGACCTGAGCCCATTGAGGACGATTGAGGACGAAAGCTCACAGGCCTAAATCGACATGGGTCCAATACAAAAATTTTTTACCCAAGCCATGCCCAGCTTTTTACCCAGCCTGACCTGCGTGCTGTGCCAAACCCAGGATTTCAGGGCGAATCTGGGCTTTCAGGCCAGCCCTGGCTCGTACGGTGCTCTAATGTGCTCCACCCATGGTTTAACTACTTCCTATAAACAGCCAAGCTGTCCCACTTAAGGAAGGTGAGCAAGGCAACATGTTACTACATGAATGCCCAAATGCAGAAATTCGTTACAGTTGACTATACAGTAGAAAGGATTCTCACATTGTTGATGGTGAGGTGCATGATGATCTTGGGCACCAAGTCGCGGAAGGTCTTGGTGATAATGCGCATGTAGGAGTCCACCAAGTTGCGGATGGTCTCCACCTGGCGTTCAAGCTGAGGATCCATGGACGATCCACTGCCTTCCGAACCCACGCCATCCGTGCCCCCTTCGCCATCACCTGCAGCACTCTGTGCCCGCTCTGGATACACACCGGCTCGCAGGAACGACGCTTTCCACGAGTCCACCTCCTCTTGGCTCTCGCACGATAACTCCAGCTGCTTGTAGTCCTTGTACACGTTCCTCCAGTGGGAGCCAGCAACAGTCTTCGAATCACAAGCTGCCCTCGCCTAGCACAGCTTCCTTACACTGCCCTTAACACAGCCCTACACCTTGAAAGTTAACAAAGAAGTGCTGTTCTTTACATATATATAGTCGATCCCGGATATATCAAATTGTTGGCTATATCGAACAGTTGAGAAATCCCCTTGTATTTCCCATGCAAAAATAGAGGACCGGTGCACCCGTATATCGAACTCTATATCGCCTACATGTCGACGGTGGGAACTCTGATATTCCTGCTATTCCTTCCTCCATGTAACTAGGTGTCTTTTGTTGTGCCTTGTGTACTTCTCGCCTCATTCCTGATAAATCCTCATTCGGGAGTTAAATTGAACGTTGACCCGCACGTAGCGATAAAAATCATGACTTACGCTAACAGCGATGTCAAGTAAAGCACCGTCGTAAACTTTCCTTGCGGGCCAGGTGACGAATTCGGGTTTGTCATGACAGTTACAACGGCCTGCGCTACCTTAGTGAATTCTGCGACTTATCAGCGTTTCCAGGCACCATCTCGAACAGTGAGTGCATTCATCCGTGGAGACGACGACATAGCTGTTTCCGACTGCATCTTCGCTACCACCGCTAACCAACATTTTGCCGCGCTACAAAGCTTGCATCGTGGTTCTGTGTCAATCAACGTTGTTGTGGCCGAAGGAGCAGAGTTCGCTTATTTTAAAATCCCCTTCGAGTTTGATATATCTGGGATCGACTGTGTGTGTAGGTATATATATTACCCCTCATAACCCTCTCAAGAGGGTATTATATGCGGGGGGGAGGGGGACGACAATTCAAAATTAATTCAAAATCTCGCATGAAAGTCTTTGCGCTTCATAGCCCATTTCTCTTTGGTCCGAACATGCAGTTCAGAATTTTTAAATATGACTGTTCCCTCACTAGATAGCAATTGAAACTTAAGTTCATGTGAACACGTGAACACTGCATAACATCGTGTCAAACATAAGCCAATTAGGCAAACAAATGTCAGGTTCATTCTGTAAGCCTGAAGATAGAGCTAGCTGGTTAGACATGACTAACACTATAGCCCAAACAAGAATTCACAAAATTAAGTGCGGGCACAGTGGACAGTGTCCATGCCTACTTAATCTTGAGCGAGTTTTATTTGTGCTACAGTCTTAATGATGTTAATTTTGTACCACCCACCAAAACAAACAATAACTAAATACTGCACATTGGAAAAAAACAGGTTCTAAATATAAAAGTGCTAATGGCATACCCCAACAGAAAAATTAGCACTGAAACGGTGACACATTATGAGTGCAACCGAACATGCACTTCAATAAAATTCCAAACCCAATGCTGCCTGCAAGATTCCCAGTGAACTAAGATTCTATTTGATGCCATAAGCAGGGGTATATGCTTCGAGCTCTTGCCAGATGCCATCGCATACTGTTGGAGACCACAAAAAGTAGTGTGGTGGACAGTTCACTGAAGAAGCAAGTTGCCAAGAACACTTCGATTTGAAGTGTGTGTCGTCTTGTGAGACAATAGTGTATTTACGCACTTCATTTTGCTTAGATATCGCCGCCTATATAAATACGTCACTCTTACTACTATACACTCCTGTGAACCAGAGCACAGCAAGATTTTTGCAGTACTCAGTAGTATAACGCCTTGTTACTTCACTACATGAGCTACCATAATCAAGAAAATGTGCATCCTTTCGGCGCTGATAATTTGTAAAAATCACTGAGGCCTTTACATAGAGGCTCTTCTCTAGGTCATACCACCAAGCACATAAAAAAAAAAGAGACAAGAAAAGGCACTGCCTTCGTCCATCATCAGAAGTATGCTAGAGAACTATATATTGTGTTACTTACAACTATCAAAAAAGCTGAAATGAAACAAGCTGTTGTGAATTGTATCCGCAGTCTTCATCATTTTGTTTGTGTAATAGTGACAGAGAAGAGAAGACAAGATACACAAGTTTTTAATACTGCTCATGTTTCCTTAAACCACAGCAGTCATGTAGGGTGAATGTTAAAAAAAAAAAGGCAGTCAGGAATGGGGAAGCGCAACAGGCAGAATGTCAAACAGCGGACGCAGACGATTGAACACTCTACAATGGCTGTGAAACAAAGTTCAAGATGCTTGTGAAAGTGTTTTGAGTACTACTGTAAATGTAAAATACTACAGCACCTACTCCACTGAACTGTGCTTTCTCCAATGAATGCTCATTAATCAAACGACTAATGTAAAAGTGCCCACAAAATTAAATTCCAGCTATTCAACACTATATTACCCCAGAAAATATTAAGGCATTCAATTTGTAACAAAAAAATCAAATCACATGCTTTATGAATAACGTAGAAAGGAACGTTTTTTTTTAACACAAACAATGTCACAGCACAATATAGAAAGGTACCTTTGGTCAGGGTTGAAAAGTGCAAATGTGTTTCTTCGAGACATAAAGCCAGCTTCAATATCCTTAATTTTCAGGCCATCCAGAGGAAGCATGTATTTCTTATCCTTCTCCTAAAATGTTGAAAATGAGAAAATTGGAATAATATGAAGATAACTATAGCCTATAAACTTTTAAATAAACAGCTTGTATATAACATATATCAACACACCAGTGGAATTAACAAGGAAATAAAGTAATGCTGACATTACCACAAAGACCTGTGAAAGCTGCACATTAAGGAATGTCAAAATCATATCCAAGTTTGAAAAATAAGCTGAATGTATTGTATAAAATGAATTTTACATATAACACAGTTCAGTCTCACAAAGAATCACAAAGAACTCTTGTGAGAAGTTGCATCAGCACAATTACAGAAAAAAAAAATTCATGTCACAAATATCGCAGTTATAATGGTTAATAATAAAGTAATGTAGCGAAACACAGTACTACCAACCTTAAAACATTGCACGTGAATTGTATAGTGCAACTTAGTCCCCCTCTCATACCTCCCTTTTCACTGTACATGCTGCACTAGCTTAACACAAGGGTATAGAGTCCCCCTTCAAGTAGCCTCATCAATCATCAATTCGAAAGATAAAAAATATTTTTAAAAGTGTTATAACCCCCAAATTGGTAATTTGAACAGGTCTGAAGTAATTTATTTAGTTATCTTCATGACAAAATAAAGACGAAGAAAGCTGAGAAATTAAAACACCAGTAGTAAACACATTTATCCCACTATATATAGTTAAATTCAGTAGATCCCACATACCTTGGGAATCGGCGTTATGCGAAACATACGAAGAAAAGGTGACCGTGTTGTAATTTACTGAGAGACATGTCATAAAATGATGCTAAATATACTGCGACGTAGTCGTTTACACGCCTTTATTAGGCCTGGAAGACGTGGCCAAAACCGTTATCTCTGAGGCACAGAACGGACTCAAGGGTCATCCCCACTAATGATGAAGATGAAGAACACTAGGTGATGATGGTTTTGTACAGGTGATAAAGAAGCGTGCTTTAAATGCCCACAATACACACGAATGTAGCATGCATGCCATATATTCAACAGTTGCAGATGCTTACATAACCAGTGGTTTGCAATTACGCAACAATGCCATGGAACATGAGTATTAGCAACACCAGAAACGATAAACTGATATAAAGCACTGGTGCTCGCGAAGATGCCAGTCCTGGACACTGCCACATAATTCAACTTCAGCAAATGTCACCTCACTACAATTCACGTTAGCCCAACGTGACAGCTGCATGATAGGAGTGCTGTAATGTTCATAAAATTGGATATCCCACCACTGCAACCACAACTGATCGACCCGACCCAACCGACCTACCGATAGATAGGTAGGTAGATATGGAGAGACGCCAAAAGTGCCACTTTCTGTACGCAAAGAAATGCTTCGCATTTAAAATGTATGCTAAAAATTTTCAATTTGGTTAGAAACCAGGCATGTGACAGTCCTACAAGCTCTGAGATGAAACTTAAAATAATTTAAAAAGGTAGAGAATTCCCTATAGCACAAAAAAAATTGTTAGCAAAAGGCAAATATGCTTGCCTCTTCGTCCTTGTACCACGAGATGGACTCCGATGTGAGCACAAACCAGTAGTCCCTAGAGCCACCTTTCATGATGCCCAAGTTGTGGATGCACATCCACCCCTTGCGAATCACCTGAAACAAATACATGACAAACGACACATTAGAAAATTTTACGGCTCCTTTTCACTTAGCCACCTATCAAAAAACTGATCTCAAACCACTCTTAGTGTATAAGCAACATAGCGAAAACAACTCACACAATTTTTGTTTTATATTTAGATCAAGGAAACCCAGAAGCTATGGAAATTTGCCTACAAAATCTTTCTGCTATATAGCAAGTATATGAAATCAACTTATGAGGTCCTGCTCACCAACAAGAATAATCTTTCTACTTTACAGAGAAATTACAACAAGAAAGATTAGTCTTCAACAGCTTCATTTGTGTAATACAAAAGCACACAACCTAGCTGCAATACTATGTGATATAATGCAACACAAAACAAAGGCTACCACAATCGAAACTGCTTTTTGTTAAATGCTTTAACACACTCAGTAGCTACTAAGGCACATGTCTTGAAGTGCAAATAGGCATTGTCCAAACTGCAACCAGGTGCAAGCGAGGCAGTAACTTCGATGGTGCGCCTAGATGTGCTAGCAATGTGTGCAAGTGTAATCATCAAGTGAGCAAGTGTAATTAGAAGCATAACTTTGGTTGAATCTGTACAATATCAGGCAAACAGTGCAATCTTTTTTAATGATATGAAAAACAAAAACAAAAAGGCTAATGAAGGCTATCAGTTTTATTTTAGTACCTTACACCTTGAAATAAAATGAATACTTCAGCGGGTGTCACGACCTTGAGTGCATGTAATGAAACATTATTGCTTTCTCCCACTGCAATACCTGTTGCCAGCGTGGCTCACTGTGTAATGTGAGCAGACTATAGAGAACGGCACAGACATCTAGCAGCAACCCATCGAAAGAACTGCATATAATCTAAATGCTGCTCCCAATACTTGTCAGCTGCTGGCCAATACCATGCCATCTGTTGTTCGACTTCAAACAGCAGATACCAGCAGCTCTGAAGAGAGCGAGCACAGGCCTCTGTACGAAAAAAGGGTGTCGGAGAAATTGACAACTTCGCACTGCGCTTCTGAACTCTCCTTGCAGCGCAAGTGCAAGATGTGGCTGAGCTGTTCATAGCATTGTCTCCTATTTGGAGAATGAGTTTTCTCGCCAAGCCCGAGGGTTGGTTTATGACATCTTTAACAGTGTACTGGTCATTTCAGCTAAAATAGAACTCGGCAGCTGAATTTGAAATTTTAACTTTTTCAACGGGTTAAATATTTTGTATAAAAAGCAGCTTTTTTGTTTTTTGTTTTTTCAATCAAAACCAGTGAAATGCTGTTTCAAGGAACCAAGACTGCTGCATTAGTCATTCGGAAAGAAATGTCAGACAGGGAGGGATACAAAAGAAGAATATCAACTATACATAGGTGGAAATAAATTCGGTATAGTGAACGTAGTAGACACAGGGCTTGACTAAGAGAATAAAGGAAGATGATGAAGCCTGATCACTGTCCCGCTTGTAGTCAGCCCTTGTCCACTCATGTCTTCTACCATTAAACACCACTGCTTGACTAGAAACTTGACACAAGTTTTCAATCGAAAACATAAGCCGTGATGCATGTGATTAAGACAAGCCAAATAGCGGAGCCATTTGCCATTTCAGATAATAGGCAGCCCAGAGAACAAGTCCTGCGAGGTAAGAATGCATCACTGCTTGCCTTAACATAGGCTACCGGCAGTAGGAGATCACAACAGTTAGATTTAGCGAAAACTTGCACAAGCCACAAGCTTTTGAGAAAAGAACCTCGCATGTAACTGGACATTGATCTTTTAGTTTGTATCTAGTCAGTGAAAATCAAAAATAAGGATAAACAAACTTGAACTAGGCCATAACTACACTAAAAAACAATAAAAAAGGGAAAGGCCTGGATATTATAAGGAAGCAGAGCAATAGCCTCAAAACCATGGCTTCATTACTTTGGTAGTACACCAGCACACAGTTTGCAAGCGAGCCTGCGGAACTTTAACCTGGGTCAAATTTTACAAAGCATGCAGTTCCTGAAAGGTCGAAACCAATATCAGATCAGACTCCACTACTCTAGAACAGCCGTGCCTTAGTAAAACAAAATAGTGATCAGACATGTTGTGGAAGCGTAAGCAAATTATCACAGGCAATAAGAACATTTCCCAGACAGTTCAGTATATAAATTACTAGGGTCATTTTTAAATGTCATTAATGAAAAATCAGCGAATCGTCTTAATTCACAGCAAGAAACACTTCTGAGGCATGGGCACCTTTTGAGAATCCTGTTTGTGGCTGCAGGAATAGGTTGAACTAACTACCAAATGAATGATCACTTTGTGATGCATTCAATGACCTAAAATGCCTGCAATGCTACGATGTGTCATTAGCGCCCACTGAAAAATAGTGAAAATGTTATAAAAACCACGAGGAAGCAATTATGTTCCAAGCAATATTGATGCCCTGCAGCATGCAGCTGATATTTGGGTAAGTGTGTATAGTAGCATTGCCATGCTTTGGTATAGATTATTAAAGAATTGTTACAGAGCCACATAAAAGGAACTGCTACTTCTGACAAGAAACTTTTGAAAACGGAGCCAAATATCAAGAATGACAATAGCACTACTATTCTAAAATTGAGCAATAGGAAGCATACATAGTTGTACAAAATTAAACACCTTGTTTCTTTTCTACTGACTGTTCCACACACTCCCACAGAAGCTGCAGCTGCCCATGTTTATGGTCAAGTTCCAAAGAAAACAGACACTGAACAAAACCACATTTTTTTTAACCAATTGTTCTTACTTTCAAAAGAAAGATTGGTCAGGCAGGTGCATTATCCTGTCATCGTTAGGTATCTGCCTCCTCGCAACACTATCAAAGTTTAATCTAAAGGCTACCAAGTACAGAACAGCTAGTTCAGTAGCATGCAATTAGGATATTAGTTAACCTCTTACGTGCCTTGCTAAGAGAGTGTCAACTACTGTGACACATTTAAAACATTCCTTTGCACACTTGAAACATTACTGCGAACAGCTGTAGGAGAATATACTTAATGGTTGATTCCAATGGCAGTTTGTACACCTGTTCCTCCTGTTATTGGAGCAAGTGTGTTCCAGTACGACATTCTGGGAAAATTTTCCAGCAGTGACCACTCCGCAGAGCAGTTGAATCTGCTCTGCAACCGAAGCTCTGCACAACACAACAAACCGAACAACAAACCGAAGCTCTGCACAACAAACCTCCTTTCAGCGTGGTTTTTAGCTGTCTTACGGCACACCGCATTTGGTAGTGCCATGGTAGTATTTGCTTTCACAGTAAGGAACACCAGAGACAACTACTAGTCGTGAAGCACGAAGGGCAGCGAACAGTGAATGGCCCCACACATGGTACAATGGGTAACCAAAATTCGTATAGTGCTGGTGTTCCAATATTAGGTTAGGTGACGTTGCTTTATGACACAAAAGAATGCTCACTTATGGAGGTCTTCCACTGCTTCGAATCTGCCAGTGGAATTGCCACTAGTCATGCCACTTTCTAGTTTCTACAACACTATGTACGCAAGCAAGTAAACGGCATCTTAAAAAACTTCAAACGGATTGCTTTCACAGTTGAGCCCCTTCCTGAGAGACATGCATCAGGAAGCAATTCTTGTTTTTTGTATGAGGTGTCTCTCGTAAGCAAAGTGCCATGTAAGCATTTTATCATCAACCTTATCTTTAATGTAGGAACAGCAATGTCATTTATAACCCATGTGTCTTACATCAGTCGCACTTTAAAGGGGTTCGACTATAATAAAGATACTTCACAAAAAATACAAATTTCCATTAGGAACAGCTTTATTTTCAAAAATGATTAGCATTCTGTGGAGTTTTTTAGTTGGTGAGTAGTTCTTTCAATCATGTATGCAGGATGGACCACTTAAAATGCCATAAACACTCAAATTACAGAAAAAGAAAAACGATAAAGCAGCCCTGGAGTTTTAATACAACTCAGGTTTTGCCAAACAGCTGTACGCATGCTGGAATTCCGGCAAATAATCCAGCAAGTGCACTGAAATCAAACTTCATCACATGGCAGTCTGTGTCTTTGCAACTCTCATATGTACTGTATTAGTAATGCATATGCCACCCATCCACCATACTACTGTACAGCCTACCAATGAGATTTTGTATACAAGTAGGTAAATAGCACTCCAATCAACTCTTCTGAATCACAAGCCTAAACAATACACACAATGGGTAACCACATTTGATAAAAGCACAAGCAAGAACTGCAAACACCCAAACATGCTTTGATATTTTTTGGCAAAATAAGGTTAAATAGGGGTTAGTTATAAATGAATCACCTATAAACAGGCATATATGGTATTCTAAGATATGCATGAATATTTTATTGATTATTCATTTTCACATTACCTACACATCTCATGCCAGCATAAAGGGGCATCAAACAATATTGTAAAACAAATTCAAAATTATTTGTATGAATTTGGAAACACCCATAAAGAAGAAAATAGAGAGCTGCTACAAAACTATACCCCTCATTCGCAATTAAATTAGATATATATATGGTCCATTACCAAATACAACAAGTATTTTCATGTGTAGCAATAAATTTAAAAATTTAATTTCCATGAAAATTTAAGTACAATACCACTGACTTTTCACACTGCTTTAAAGGAGCACTGACATCAAATTTCAAGATAGAGATGTGCCCATCATTCGATCGCTTATTATGCATAGGTCTTCTTGGCCAAATTTGAACGGCATCCGTCGCGTGGAAGTTATTTTAATTTGATGTCAAACAGCACAGAAAAACTAAGGAGAAAAACCAAAAAAACTGCCCTGCGACATCAACACTAGTGCTAGGTGTTCGATGTGATACATTCCACAAATACCATCCTGAGTGACGATACGCTAGTAGCGATAACGAGTATGATCCAAGTGTTCTTATCGTGCGCCGCCGAAGCAAAGAAACGCACTCGCTCAGCGCGTCTGATCTTCGTCGCACTGGATCGAATTATTTGAAAGAACGGCAAAAGAAAAGAGCATGGACGTGTGCTTGTTTGTCAGCATGTTGTGGAATCGCGAGTTGCAGGCGAGTTGCAGTCGTCTCGTTTGAAGCACAGAAAAAGCGCACATGTCATGTATGTTTTGCACACCAACACGACCACAAGCTATCAAAAGTGGAACAGCGTATAGCCAGATATCTTTAACAAGTAACACGCACGCATCTTTAATTTTAGTTCATCTATAGACATGTCCACGTAAAAGTGGTATTACCGTGTTAACCTTGAGAGGCGGGATAGGTGGGGTTATCTGGAGGCTCAAAAAAAAACCTGGCAAGCAGGAAATGTATTCTATTTCTCCGCTGATGCTCATTCGCTATAGCTATATTGCATTGACCCCTCTGCGTATACCTGAATGCTTTGCACGCCAAAACACACCAATATAGCTAACTGAGACACACGAGCGAACATGGCTGAAGCGTGCATCCTCAGGCACCTCTGCAGTGCTGCTTGGAACGGCATCCATTTTGGCATTGCTGTTCTGCAAGAGGTCGATCGAAGCAAAAATAATTCGCGACGTCGCAAATCGCGGGGAGTCCAAGCTCCCGACTATCGTATAGAACCCGAGTCGACACTTTGTACGGCAACTACAGCAATACAGGCGACAAGGCATAACTGAATGTGTCCGCCTAGCACACGAAATGTTTGTGGAGCAGCTGAGCCTGACGTCACTTTTTTCTGTGGAGAAGTGGTCAGCTGTGGTGTGATCTGGAGGTGACCGCGAGGTAGTGCCACTCCCAGTGCTAGAAATGGCGGGATTGCCGGCCGCTTCAAACAGTGCTAGATACCAGTGATTTAAATCAATAAAAGTGATAGTTATTCATCCCTTAGTTGCATTTTAGGTCGCAAATCGCTACTATGGGGTATATAGCTACTCGCTGATGCAAAAATCTTGGCATGAGTAAATTTGATGTCAGTGCTCCTTTAACGTAATCTGTTGCACTATAGTAATATAGTACAACTTTTCACACTGCTTTAACGTAATCTGTTGCACTATAGTAATATAATGGCACTTCACACCCACAGATTTATAATTGCAATAAAACACCACAGTTCAATGTTACACATTAAAGCAATAACATGGAAACAAAGTATACTAACCCATAAATATTGATGTGCAATGCAAGAAAGCTTTAGCATTAACTATTAGTTATGTTTTTTTGTTTTGTTTTTTCAACTGCACGCATAATGAACTTAGACTAGACACTTCACAGGCTATTCAAGCAGTTCCAAATTATATAAGTAGACACCTAAAGGGTTCATCTGCATTTGCATAAGCAAAATATGAAATGTTACTGCTATAAGGCAATATCACAATGTATAGAAATTGGTTCCATTTTGAGCAAAGAATTTTTTTTTTTTTTCATGCATTCATACACTCACTTTTGAAATAGCGCTCTTGCACAGCAATACAATGCTTCCCGCATTAATGCCACTTTTGTCTTGAAACTTTTTTTTTTTTCCCCTTTCTTGAGGTGGAGCTTGTTTGGAAGAATACAGATTGATTTAGGCGATATTAAAACGGCCACGTTGAAGTTAGGTTCTTCCCTTAGGACAAGATGGAAATACACAGGAGGTCTGCCATTTGTCTATTTCACTCCCTTTCCAGAATTAAAATCTTGTCTCTAAAGTTGCCATCAATATGACAATGCCTTCTTATTGCCAAGTGATGCGAATTCCCAACACAGTTTGCGAGCTTCTACACTACACAAAAATGCAAGAGCCATTGGCCAATTTTAAACCATACTGGCCGGTGTGTGGCAACCACACAACTATCTGGTACCATCTCGCATTTGAAACGCAATGTACAGTGTTAATTTTTATGAAAGGGAACACTGCGACGCGTGGTCAGCGCACTCCGGCTGCTGCTGGCAGCAACCACAGTTTTTTTTTCGTGTCATCTTGCGGTGAGCAAAATAACCATTCGTTGCCGATATAGAATGGCAAGATTTCGACCCCTCCCCCTTCAAGGCAATTACCAACTCTTGCGTAATTGCCTTGAAGGGGTAGGGAGTCGCAATAACGCCGCTGGTTCTATATCAGCAACCAATGGTTGTTTTTTGCTCGCCGCGAAATCGACGTGAAAAGAGACTGTGATTGCTCTCGTTTTCACTTGAATGCGCTGCTAGCAGCCGCCGGAGCACGCAGGCCACGCGCTCCCATGTTCCCTTTCATAAAAATTGACACTGCACAAGATGCCATTCTTTGTATAAAGGAACCACAACCTACACACTGCTAGTCTTTCTCCATTCGTCTGAAAGATAAGCTAAGCTTATCAACTAAAAATATACTACAGTGGAATCCCATCTATAGAAAATATAATTTAGAAGAAAAAAGAAGGATGTAAGGCACTGTTTATATGCAAATTTTTTTGCTATACGAATACGCAAAATTTTTAAGAAAAGTTATTCAGCAATATGTGACCTTACATTAGTCGTATTTGTGACTGGACAGGTTGGATGTCTTGCACGAAAACAAATACCTATTCCTTGCATGTTTTGGAGAATAAGCATACATGTGGATATTAAGAATTTTTAACAATCCAATCTGGTACTGGTGCACAAATGTATTTGCATATGCTGACCCTTGCTTTGCAAAATCTGGTACTGGTGCACAAATGTATTTGCATATGCTGACCCTTGCTTCGCAAACGTGTTTTCTGTACAGGATGTCTATTGTCCCCTTTTGACAACAAAGCCACAAATTGCATACCGTGAACAGCCAGTAATTCTTTTCATGCATCCCCAGCACACAAACTTGTAAGTTTCAAGTTGTTTCTTTTTGTTTTAATAAAACGATTCCGCCACGTGAGCCTAATCAAGCTATTTATTAAATGTACGCAGATCTTTGAATACTCCCAGAAAGAATGCATCTACGACATATCCACAAAGATTTGATTGATTGATATGTGGGGTTTAACGTTCCAAAACCACCATATAATTATGAGAGACGCCGTAGTAGAGGGCTCCGGAAATTTCGACCACCTGGGGTTCTTTAGCGTGCACCCAAATCTAAGCACACGGACCTACATTTCTCCACCTCCATCGAAAATGCAGCCGCCGCAGCCGGAATTCAATCCCGTGACCTGCGGGTCAGCAGCCGAATTCTTTAGCCACTAGACCACCGCGGCGGGGCAGTATCCACAAAGTGGAAGTAACACAGGGAAGGCTGTATTGCTGCACAATGAAACTATTTTAAAGGTGAAAGCACATGAACGCATGTAAATTACTTTCCTCCAGAGAGAGCCAGTTGCGAAACATTTTGATGCCAGCTTGCATGAACGCGCAAGTGGGCTTTCCTTCTGTGAACTCCTAAATTTCTTTCTTCAACTAAATAATGTTAAGGACACTAAACCACTTGTTTCAAGCATCTAGGCTCTACTTAATACTTTGCATATAGTCTAATTACACACTGATTGCACAACTTGCCGTATCTAGAGGTTGCCTACTTGGTCACTTGAGCAGTGACAATGACAGTGTGATGAATACTGCTCTAATTTTACGTACTGAGTGCAGCTAGAATAAAATGACCTGAACACAAGAGTGATGATTTCCCTAGAGTAAAAGCACAACAACCAACACAAAAGCTTCAGATAAACTATTCTGTGCCGCAATGACGTTTCCTAGCTTTTCTTGGCATTTACAAATTTGGTTTAAATTATAACAAAGTTATAGAAATAAAGGCTTAAAAAGAATTATATATATATATATATATATATATATATAAAGTAAAAAGCACATCCTCAAAATTTTCAATCACAAAGGTGGTAAGTGAACATTTCAGTGATATCTAAATGTACCCTTTCCAGTTCCAGAAGTTTATATCAACGAAATAAGAGAATGCACCAGCCACTAAAGACACCATAGTGCTGCAATGATTAAAAGCCATGACTGCAGGCAATATTACAAGACAGGTACAGGTACAACGTTTCAACATGTAAGCAGACATTAGTAAACCAAGTTGCTTCACAACTGCAGTTTTAAATATGTATCTTAAAGACCCTCTGCAATGAAATGTTTAACTGGGTAAAATGCATCCAATTGCACAGATATGAAAGCTAACATATCATGCTCCCGTACCTGCAGAACTCCAGCGAGCCTGTGGCTGGCTATGCTTATAGCGGCAGCTCCCATGCAGGCTGCGGAGCAGCAGTGTAGCCTCAGCTTTGACTATTGCAATTGTACAACTGGGCATTAAGTAACCCGCATGTCACCACATGAAAGGGACAATGAAACTTTCCTTCACAGCCTTGCTACAAAATGCTGCTATTAGAATTCATGTGATGAAACACGGGACCCCCCAATTAGAGAACCAGCATAGGTCCTCTACACAATCTCGGAGATTATGTGCCCGTGCAGCATTCTGGAAATCTTGTACGCAATGCGCTGGGACTCGCACCAAATATGCTAACCAAGTGTACAGACAGCCTCAGTTGCTATTTGAAAGTTCTTAATCCTAAAACACCACCAAGATTGCCTAATAGTTCACGCTACTCATCTATAACCAATATAAGTGAAATTTCATTGCAGCGGGCCTTACTTTGCAGAGTGAACAATGCACCAAAGAATGCAACCTTGCAGCCTTGCATAGCACACCAATCAGCACCACACCAAAAGGCAGCTCAAAGCTTTGACCTATGCCCCCAGTCACAACCGCACATGCTACTTTTGAACTGTTAAGCTCCACCCATAGGCAGAAAATACTCTGCCATTCCAAAATGGCAGTTCTCCATGCATGCAAAAATTTGATCATCAACATCTCAAGAATCAATGTCTAAAGCATGCAATTAGTTCCTTTTATACAAGTTACACAAATACTTAAAAGTGGCTTTGGGGAATCTGTCAAAACCGAGCTGCAGATTTTTTTTTTAATCAGGAAAGAAGATAAAAAGGAAAAAGGTACAACGAAATGACCATGACTTACGGCGAAAACAGACTAGGAAACCAAAGGGACAAAATGGGAGGAAATATAACTCTTGCCAACTTGGAAACCCAAATATGCAAAATAAGACAGAATAAAAAGCTCTTTAGTGTACTCTTTCACAGCATAACAAAGCAAAAAGAGTAAGATAAAGCAATGGTTTCATGCAGACATCAAGTGAAACTGCTCATCAAGCATATTGTTATGCACGAGTATTAATGAACAAGCATAACAGCTTTTTAGTTGCACATGCTAGCACAGAAAAAAATGAGATTAGGCGAGTCATGCAACATGTTAGTAAAACATTTTCATTAAGCCATGCATCATAATTTTCAATCAAAAGTAGAGAAACAATTCTGAAAAAGAAAAAGACAAGGACAAATACGAGGCAAGTTTCTATTGAAAATATGCGTGTGCTAAACTCCTTTCACATTATCTAAGGAAATAGTACTTTGGAGTGTTGTACAACAGATGATTATTCAGAAAAATAGACTTTTAAACTATAAGAAGCAGGGACCACATTTTTATAATGATTAATTTCATTTGTCCTTCATACTGCCTGCCTTTGCAAATTGCTCATCCCAGCAATAGTGCTGCCTGGTAGCGTATGACTCGATGACAAGGGGCAAGAAGAATGGAATTAGATTGCAACAAAATAAAAGTTCCGGCCATTCATGAACCACAGGAACATTAATTATAATATGACAGACAGCTGCAGCAAAAGGTCATTACAGACAAAAGAAAATTAAACAGAAAAAAATGAGGCCAGAAAAATGTCATTAAAACTAGATGAACAAAAAACCGCGTGACAATAACCCTAAAGTTAAATTACAATTGCATTCCTATTGATAAATGTCTGCACTAGCCAAAAGTTAAGTAAATTTATTTACATCAAAATCTCTTAATGCTGTGCAAGTATGTTTCGCCCCCATAATAGTTTAAATACAAGAAAAAAAAGTAATAGTAAACAAAAAAGTTAAATCTTATAAGAAAATTTTTGTTTGGGTAAACTTCCAAGCCAAATGGTATATTAAAACGCTATTTGAATGACAGCCTCTCAGGAGCAGCTAAAATCTATCTTTGATCTCACATGGGAGCCTATAATAAAAACAATAGTGGTGCATGTTAATAAAAGCATGCATTCAAGAAGCCATGCAACAAACAGGCCAAGAAGTGCTAAAATGAATGACTGCACATTTGCCCCTGTTCCTTTTTTTTTCCGTTCTCTCACAATGTTTTGTCAACAAAGGCAAAGATTTTCCTGCATAAGCTTCTTTCTTTTTAGAATGCTACAGAAGAAGTGCGATTCCGTATGCCAAATTACGGCACATAGTTGCCAATTATGCACATAGTTGAAAGCTCTGCAAGCAGGAGCACCATTTCAGAAGAGCCAGCAAAATTACGACAGACATTGGTAACTATGCAGGTGACTTACCTTTGCTAAAGATTTTTTTAAATGAATAATTGCATGAATTGGTTTATTGCAAAAACAATTTAAGAGGTAATCCATTCAGATGCTAATGGCTAATCAGATTTTTATCCAGTCAATTCACTCCCAAATCGATTTTGTATGACAAACCAAGACTTCTCACACAAGACTGCATCATAATATTCTGCTCGAAGCTCATAATGCACCGAAGTGGAAGGAATGTGCACCCTTAACTATAAGCAATTTTCATAAGCAACACCCAAGATGTAGAGATTTACCACAAGCTTTCACAAGAATCCATCCGCATTATATAGTATCCCTTGGACATATGTGGTTCAATTGACGTTCGCTCCTTTTCCTTGTCAGCATGTGTTCGCATCAGCACCACCCCAGTAACAGTTGCACCCCTTTCTTTGGAAACCTTTAACAAATCATCTATGCTAAATCGTCCATGTGCTTCCTTCAACAACTTTATACACCTAGCTTACATGTATTTCTTTTCTGTAGCATACTACACAATACAGCGCTATCTTTTTCCTACATTTCACCTGCCAAAGTAAAGTACCAAATGGAATGCACATTTAACTCTACAGCATAGTGCACACATGGTTTAGCAACTTGCAATGTGCACGTACCCATTCAACTGTTTATCCGTCAACAAAGACTTACAATACTACGAGTATATTTGCAGTATAGTGAGCTGCTGCGTTCATGTCAGAGCCACTTGAAACACACATGACCACAAACTATGCATTCAATTACCAGTTCCTTCTGAATGGCTTAATGCATTTGTTCTGAACTTCAAATTCAATCAAACCACTTGAGTCGGCTGCAGCAGTGCACATAAACTTAATGGCTATCAGTTCAATCTATCACACATTGTGTGTATGTGTCATAATAAAAAAGCTGCCTAGAAATGCTCACATGCCTCACATTATGAACCATGCACTTTTCTAGGAACAGACACACACTGAAGAGGTCAGACTGGTCAACAAGTGTGTCATGGCTCCTAGGATCCAATGCTTGGTGCCAAAGTGCTTGGCCAGTAACTCATCCCATAGGTCACCCTAACAGACTGACTATGTGATCCATGACAACTGGACTAATGACAACTAGACTTTAAAACTCTAGCACAAGATTAGCTTGCAAAATAGAAAAAAGATGTATTGCACACTATGAAATCGCTCTCAATAAATAAAAACTTATTAAATTAGAAATGTCACTCACTCATGGTTAAATTAGGATTTGCTTGCAGTTATTTCCAAATTGACACTATGGAGGCTATTTCAACTTCTCCATTTACAGTCACTAAAGATTTCGCTACCAAAAATGTTGGAAGTGGATCACGATGAACGTGAGCACAAGGTAATGGTGAATAAAGCACAAAATGTTGTGCAGTCTCCCAACACACTACCACAGCTATACCAAGCGCAAAGCTACATACCTGTACACTTGTTACTGTTAATAGTAGGCATGTGCAAATAGTGAATTTTAGGTTCAACGTGAACTCAAAGCAAATAGTTATTTTAATTGAATAATTATGAATTGAATTCAAATAGTATATAAAGCATATTTAAAGAAAAATGTGCATATCTGTCATGACCCAACTAACCTGCACAGTACTTGCAAAAAATTTAGACAAGGCCTGTTAAAATGCCATTTCTTTTTTTTTTTTTTTTCAAAAGAAGTGGAAACAACTTTGAATAGTAGCAGGATTATACTTTTGATAGGATGCAGGTGATAACCTATAAAATATGTTACAGTTTTAAAATTTACGATACTTCGAGCTTATAAGCTGGTATAACAGGCTTTTAAAATTAGAAATTTATGAATTGAAGTAAGAGTAATATGTTCATTTAACACTGATGTGGGCTATTGCGGCAGTGTGGCTACTTCTGCATAAGTGTTTTTACGGCTTAATAACCCTTTACTGCAGTGAAACCACCCTTACGGTGAATTACATGCATACTCTGTTGATAAAACTGAGGCAACTCTACCCCCTCCACCTGCTATATTGCCTTGTCCCTGTATACTGCAGCGCCCTCGACGAAAAAAAAGTAGAGTAAACATGGTTTCATTTATTCATTCCAGCAGACTAATATACATTTGGATAGATGCTTCCACGGCCTAATACTTTTCTACTGCAGCGAAACCACCTTAAAAGGGGTTACATGCGGATTAGTGTACACCTATTCGTTCATTTCTAATACTTCAAAATTTTCAACAATTTCAATTAAAATCAAAGCAAATTGATGGATTGATTTGTGGGGTTTAACGTCCCAAAACCACCATTTGATTATGAGAGACGCCGTAGTGGAGGGCTCCGGAAATTTTGACCACCTGGGGTTCTTTAACGTGCACCCAAATCAAAGCAAATTCAAATACAGTAATATTCGTTCGAATATTCGCTACATTCATATTTGAACAAGCCCAGTTAATAGCATAGAGAATAGCGTCAGACCTACTTGTACAGAAATGAAAAGGACAAGATATACGAGAAGATTCCAATAGTCCACTTTGATTTAGACACAGCACACAGCAATGTTTTTTTTTACCTAGACCGATTGCCTGCACCTATGGACAGTGCTTTTTGAACCTTACAGTATGCCATCTTTCAGAGTAATAAAAACTTCCTTGATAAAGCCACTTACATAATGCACACAAATGCTGATGCGATACTTTGTTGCTCCTCCACAGCGATGGACAATTCACAAAACAGATGATGCTCTTCTCTATTCCATTTATGCAACTGCAGCCAACCCCTTTCAATGCAGGGCACATGCTAGCCATATTACCACCTCCACAGCCTCATGCCATTACAATGTGGCACCATCTTTCAGTGTTGTCAACTAGCCAAACATGTAACAGCGGTGCGACACCTTTGACAGTGGTCTTGACAAATGGACGGATGGGATGGCACGAACTGCTTAACAAATAATGCACGAAAGGTACCTATTTCAACAAAGAGAAATGCAGAGGCTTTCCAGCTTTGAATGAACATTAAGTGCAATAAAAATACCTGATGTTGACAAGACGAACAAGGACTACATGAAGTTAAACAAAGGTTACTGCTTTCAACGTACATTGCATTACTATTTCTTTATTGAATCTATCCCTCGGACCTTGGTCATAGCAGCTAGAATTACTCTGTGTACTTTCAATGTGCACAGACACTGAACACAGGAGCAGCTGGTGCCCAATCAATAGACAACAAGGGCTGCAAGCATGCTCCATGCGGGTGCCCAATTACCGTATGGCATTATACAATGTGGTAAATTTTAATAATATAAAATTGAAAGAACACTTAATCCATGCTTTGTTCTTTCAAGTGTGAGAATCCAGACACAGATCAAATGATGCAGTGGTGCTGCTATTCATGCTATGGTTTATTGCCAAGGAAAAAGTGCAAAACGTCACCTAAATAAAAAGCTCAAATGGCAATTTAATCATTTTTAAAAATTAAAGTTTTCCTTCGACAGACATATCCCTGTGTTAACTATGGCCAGACTTTCATTTGTGTGCAATATCAGTAATATACCATGAACATGAGCAGCTAAAGAATGTCCTTTTACTGCAGGGCTGGTTATCCATGCCCTTTCTGTCATGGGGCAATAACATTTTCAGTAATAAAAAAACACATACACCATTATCAGTACTGCACAAAACCACCCTGGGGCAAAAGATTGCCATTATATCAGAGGCAATCTTGCCACATAATTTTGCGATGTTGGCAGTGGTAGAGCTGGCAACCACAAGCAGCTAAAACAAAAAAAGGTCAGACTACTTCCAGGGATAGTAAATAGAAAATGATGAAGGCATCGCAATTTGACTTAAAAAATGAGACTGTTCCAATAAACAATGTGCATTTCACATATTTTTTTAACATATGGCTGTACTTTTGTAGGATTGCGAGCACATGCCAACTGCACGCGAGTGCACGTGGAACTGCATGTCAATCCCCATAATGTCAAACGTGGAGGTAGCGGAGCCAGCAGCACCAGAGGCAAGCAGACGGTGTGCACTTTCCTGTCCTGCTACTTTCTTTTCTTTCTCTCACCTTTACATCCAGCTCTCCCCCTTCCCTGAATAAGCTGAGGCGCGCGCCTATCCAAGACGCCGGCGGTTCTAGGAATCTAGTATTGGTCTGTACAGTTGAAGCAAAATGGGCTGAGAGATGCAAATTGATGGCTGGCAATGTTGATGAAAAAGCATTTATGCAGGGACCATGGTTGGCACAGCTGCTTTTGGCAATTTAAACACCATCTCTTCTCATTCTTGTGCAGCTACCAGACACAGCAGTTAGAGAAAAATGCCATTAAATTCCCTACTTTCCGTTAGTTTCCATCTGAAAACAAGGCTGAGTCAACCAATTTCACCACCCAAGTCTCTTCAATTGGGCTGATAATCACGGCAGCAAAAATTTCATTCAGTATCCCTTAGCAAACATGCTGCAGCAGTGCACTCAGAAAAAAAAAATTGGCCCCGTATCTGCATGTTACACTGCAAATGTCGTCGAAAGATGATAGTCTTGCATCTGGAGAGAGTGAACAAAACGTTTTATTAATGTTCTGCACAAGAAAATCGGTGAACGGTATTCTGGAGGCGCTGCGTTAGAGTGCCTCGAGCGTGCAGAGTTAGTGAATGAGCGCATCAAGTCACGTCACACGTGAGACATGAGCGCTATCTAGCAGTTATCTTGGAAAACGAAGCACGCGGCGTGCACGCCCGTCTCGGAGGTAGGTGTCACTGCCGTGTCATCTTAGCAAAGCGCTGGAAACACTTGCCTTTTCATGCAAGCGTTGCATGATCATCGCAGCGTAATACACGCTACGGTCCTTAGAATTACTTATGTATGCCTTTTCTAGTAAAAGACACACATACAGAATATTGACATGTTGCTATGGTGCCTCAGATATGCGCAATAATTTCGTTTTAATTGTAATTCACAATGGCACAAGTATGAACGCCGATTCTTGAGCAATATTGGTGGGCGCTGCGGATGGGGTCGGCCGTTTGGGGTATCGCCTAGTGCTTTTTAGGATAACGTTGAGGGCGGACAAACAGACAACTATACAGACAGACAGACCACAATTTTTGCGTCGAAGTTTCCCAACAAAGACTATCGTCGGCTTTAAAAACATTTGCAGTAGGCTGCTCTCGTTGATGATTGATCTTTTTCCGTGAGGAAGAGCATTCTAAAATTTTGCAACCATGGAGAGTGAGCTATGGAACAACCCTAAAAAAAGTGGCAGTATTCGTGTTCTGACGACTGAGATCACTAGCATGATACTCGTAGCCTTGTCGGTGGCATCCATTCTTCAAATGATCAAAACCGTTTGAAGTGAAATGTTTTAGTATTACACCTCTACGGCTATCAAACTTGTCACTTGCCACAGAATGGCAACAAAAGCATGACTTCGGCCAATACACTGGCATGTGCAGCATCAAATATGAAACAACTCTGCAGCATAGAGTGCACAGGACGACGCGCTACTGTGTGTACACACTTTCCACCCAGGTGGAGAAGTGGAGAAAAATAATAGCACTGAGGTACAGCCTTTAGCCCCATTTGCTCTGGGAAATACGCTGCTCTGCTTCAGCAGCTTCCTCAGAACAAGTTCCAGAGGTACATACGTTGGTTTGTACACATGGTTGATAATATTTGTTGGGGTTTAACATCCCAAAACCACTATATGATTATGAGAGGCACCGTAGGAGGGCTCCAGAAATTTCGACCGCCTAAGATTCTTTAACATGCACCTAAATTTAAGCACACGGGCCTCAAGCATTTTCGTTTCTATCAAAAATGTGGCCACCGCAGCCGGGATTCAATACTGCGACCTGCGGGTCAACAGCCAAGTGCCTCGACCACTAGAACACCGTGGTGGGTTCCACATGATTCATCAAAAAAATGTGTTCACAATGGTGCAGATGCAAAATGCCATTATCTAACGCTACACACTTCGTGACTAACCTAAATTATCATCTGTGCATGCACCTAAGGGTGAACTTGAACTGATAGCAAAGTCGTTCTTGTTGCCTGGCACTGCATAATCGGCTATAAAACCACTGCAATGAACTGGAGTTCCAGCTTGACTAACTGCACTCAAACTAGTGCATTCCTATAGAATACCTCATAATAAATCAATTCATGCAATTTAACAGTGTAAAAGAAAATGTTGAACCAGGCACTTGCAACAATGGCTACAAGTGCATGCTGCAGTAATAGACTCCACATGTTCCCAATAGCAATTGTAACTAAAAAATATTTCTATAAATTTATTAACCTTGCACTGCTAAAAATACCCAATTCACTAACCTGGTTGCCTAGTTTTCTTTTACCAGCCGATGACACATCTGCTGTTTGCTGTGCACTGGAGAAAAAAAAGTCGGAAGGTTAAATTGCTCAACCTGGGTCACAATATAATGTTGCTTGAATGGCAACAAAATAGATTCAGCAAACAATAAGGTAAGTGCAAATCATTTCGTGAAGCTAGCTGACACATCAAACAGCACAAACACAGCAACAATGCCACATATAGAGAAACCAAAAGACAGTCAGTGGAAGCCAGCAAAAATATTCAAGTTCCTTGGCAGTAATAGCATTGCAAAACCAATCAATTATTGAATTAGTCAATGAAAAGATGACACAGCAACCTTTCTCTGTTTCTTTCCCTATCCCTCCATTTTGTTTAATACCATACAGCCTACACTCCGAGCTCCAACTTGCACTTCAGCACTGCCTTCAAGGCGTATCACCACACATGATTCTCTATCATGCATCCCTACCTATACCAAGTACCACTAGTGAGAACAAGTACCACCACCTTTTCACATGGATTTTCCCACAAGTAAATATGTAACTGTGCAAGCGTAAGCACTCCTGGTGATAAGTAAGCATGTTTTCCATTAAACATGCAGCCTAAATTTTAAGCCCCAATCAGATGAATGTGGTGCAGCTTGTCTCATTAACCAATCACAGTAAATGCTTCATTATACATTTTTGAAACATTCCTACAAGCTCTGCTACCTGCTAGTACCATAATTTCAGTGATGTCAATTTAATCAATAAAGCATATGACAAAAAAAAAACACCATTCTTTTACACATACAACCTGTCCCATCCATGTTCCAGCTCTCAAAGCGGCCATGCCACCCAATTTTCAATTATAATTGCGTTATGTTGTTTAATCCTTGAGTATTCACAAATAATCTGGCGAAATTTTAGCACATTTCATCGAGCACTTAATTTATTATTGAATATTTTTACAAACATACAAGCAGCCTGAGAGTTTGGCAACACTGGCGCACTCGCAAGCTTGACGTAACAAGCAGCTGGATGTGCAGACGTACACATATCGAAGAACGGTATTGTTTCATTACCAGCTGCGCATAAAATAAGACATTCTAATTTGATTCTGCTTAACACTGAAATTGAATTATGTATTCACAGAGACTAAAACTGAGGTAGAAGACAACGGTACTGCCCCTAGCTGCATCGACGTCACAGGCTCCAAGGCAAAACGACCTTCACCAGAGCAGGCGGGATTTGCGACCAGTGGCTTCTGGAACCTGCTTTGCAGTGAAACACTCTTTTCACTGTAGACATATTTGTCTCAGCTTAATATCAGTGAAAGTCAGCTTTTGTTATATGTTTGCTGCTTGGCACAAATGTGTACTTCAATGAAAGTGCAAGCACACACTTCTTTCTAGGATAATTGTCATCACCTGCAGGTAACTTATACACTCTACAAGTGTACTTGCACATCGAACGTATTTTTTACAGTGGCCGAGGTTTCTGCAATCGTGCTTTTTGTGGCTTAACACGCTCTTAACACAGCAAGCTTACTTTAAATGCATTAGATAGAGTAAGCCAGACAATCTCTATGCACAGTCTTTCTCTACACTCAAATAATGAAGTTTGTTGTGCATCAGTTCCTGCAACGCAAAGCATACTACTTTAGCCAGGAGAATGAAAGTAGTAACAATAAACCGCAGTCAAGTATCCCTCATGGAGACTATAATTCAAGCAATTGAGTGGTTGAATTTTAATGTTACACAGACGCCAAGTTAAGCATGATGAAGGGTTTCAGATTAGGTTGTTACCCGAGGTTCTTAGCATGATACAGGGACATTTTTGCATTTTGTCCTTGTTGCAATGCAGCTGCAGACATTTAACTAGCGACCTTATGCTGAGCAGCTCAATACTCCTGCCAAAGAGGTTATTTATCGAGTTAATTAAATTCACCGTCAAAGCTTTTTGCATTGTGCCCCCTCTGAAATGCAGTGGTTATGGCTGGGAGGGAATTGAACCCACTAGACTATTCCCAGCAGCAGATGGAAACAATTCAACAACACTGCATAAATTGACTGTCTGGACAGCACCCAATAAGAACTAAATCCTTGAATGACAGCAAGATTAAATAAGGTCCACATGTGCAGGCACAGAGACTAAGATTTAACTTGTGTAAGCCAGATCCAAACAATGTGCCTACTTTTGATGCATATAAAAAAGCCCGAATTTTATCATTCTGGCAAAATATTTTTAAAACAACAATTAGCAGCAGCAATCAAAAAACTTTGCATCTTAACTTTCAAAATGAAGAATGAAACAATGATGCTGTGAAATATTTTGGAAGGTACAAATTGTAGAACTTGCAACACTTTCTCAGGTGACACTTGGGCAAAACAAGACTTGTCACTTCAGCTGCTGCTCTGCCTGTCAGACATCCAACTCGGCACACATGGCTGAACGACCTAGCCATTCTGTTAAGAGAACTGTCCGCCCTTCGCTCACCCCTTGGAGCCCCAAATGATGGCCGCACATGCATGGCTTCCAGTGACTACCTTGTCGGTGTGGGCTTTCAAAAAGCAGACGCTCAAACATGTGTCCAACTCACCCAGAGTGATAATCGTCCCTGCGAGTGCAACATTTTGCCCAGACACACACGCAGACGAACACAAGATGAACCGTCATGAAGGGGGAGTTGCAAGGAGCCAAGAGAACAATGGGGGGAAAAGAACCAAAAGTGAACAAAAGGGAAGAAACAGAGCCACTGAAGTTCCACAGCAGCTACTACAACAAAGTGTGAAGCAACCAGGAACAAGCACGAAACTACTTGTGCCACTACCGAGCACTATTCTATTAAACTGGAGTAAGACTAATGTAGCATCAGGGAACAGCCGCAAAACATGAATGAAAGACTACCTACAGAAGCACAAAGCAAACGCATGGAGGAAAGCAGCATCAAGGAAAAGATGCAGATAAATGACACTTGTTAACAAGATAAGGCACAGCAATGTTGGAGTGGGGAAACTACTTTGGTTTTCTGCACCCCTTTCACACAATGAATAAGCTCCATGGAAAAAAAATTACCTGCATGTGCCAAAAGAAAGATTTGAGACAAGGAAATCTACGTGATCTGACTGAGGAAAGCAAGTACAAGGGAATCTGCAATGTGGCAAAATGCCAATCATCCTTAACTGTTCTCATGTGGCATCCCAAAAATTGTTGAAGCCAAGAAGCACAGACCAAAAGAGGATGTGCTGAAAATGTAGCTGTAGAACAAAAACAAAGCCAAACACAGAATATGACACTTGACTGACTCAGCTTGCAGCATTCACAACTAAGAAATTGCTTGATCGTACAAGTCGAAAGACAAGAACCTAGATCTAAACATAGAGCATGCAAAAATCATTCTGAATTATTCTTGTCATGCAAACTGCAAAACTGGAGCATGACACGGATGGAAGAGAGGCGACTTGGGCAAGTTGGGTGAAGTTCATGATTGGGAGCAGTGCAAAGCAAAGTCCTGCTGTCCTATTTTGTATTCCTTTGCATTGCTCACAATGATGACATGGATGGCCTTGCATTAGTACCAAAGAAAAGTGGGCGAAGTTCCAAGCAGCAGCAAGATAGGAAAATCACAAAATAAAAACGACAGTGCAGACACATATACACAAGTGCTCCTAAAAAGGCAACATAAGTAAAATAAGATTGATAACAGCGCTCACTAGCACAGGCCACATGCTACCGTCATTGCATCACATTGTACACAACGTATTATATAGACAGAGTATCTTGCAATACTCAGATAAAACGCATGAAGACAAGAGAGTTGAAGAAAAATAACTTGAGTTAAAGAGCCGTTGAACTCACTTAGTGAATCCAATAAAATCTTCGTGGTTTGTATTCATGTATGCAAGTTCCACCTCAACAAGCAAAGATATTTGGTGCTTTGATGTCTGCTCTCGCTCACGCACATGTGAGGTGATAATGCGCTCAGTTTCCTCCCGCAATCGTGGATAACGACTCATCTGCAAGATGAAACGCACCTCAATTACACTCCTTAGAAACTAAAGGCACAGTGTACGTAACCCACAATATGCCAGTTCTTTACAACCATTCAACTGTAACATTCATGCTTCTCTCTACTGAATCAAACAAATCCACCCTCTTACATCTACAAAGACTTCCTGAAAGCTTAAAGGGACAGAGAAGTTAAATAACAATTTACGTGAGAATAAAAGCTCAATGTGTAACAACATCTAAAACGACAATATTATCAACAACAGTGCCCTACTTACCAAGAAATTAAGGTAAGTGCACAAGAACGCATGCACCGCAGTAGGACATTTTCTAAGTGATCAAGATGACATCAGACGGACTGCCTACAAATAATCACTAGTAATCGATCTAGCTGCACTAAATAACCTTCCTTCTATCAAGAGACGCAATAAAATGTGGCTTGTTCTTTCAGTTTGATTAATAAAAAACAAAAACAAAAAAACACCGGATGTTACTGCACGAATGGTCCAATATTCAATTTTCGCGTAGTTACACTGGACAGGTGGTGCCATCTAGCGGGCTGCAATTGAACCAAGAACGTCTGCAATCTTGGAGCCAATGGCGGGAAATTGATCAATGGCCGTTGTTGCTGCATGGCTCCTGCTGCTTTCAGTCTGCTGCTACTAATGCAGCAAAGCCGGACAACGTTGTGCACAGCAACAGTAACATGGGTCGGTCCGGTCGGTGCCCTTCTTGAGGCGGATAATTTGAAGTGCACTAACCTGATTCGGACCACTAAAACGCGATTTTATTTTGAAATAGGCCCTTCCTTGGCGCAAGAGTAACACTATGAGGTTTCTGGACGACTATTTCAACAGTGAACGACAACTTAATAGTTGCCTTTAGTGTCTCTTTAATAAAGGACATCATGACAATGCCAAAATGCAAAAACCTTGCCATCTCAGTTAGCTAGGATTTATAGTATTCAAGCAAATAGAAGATAGTTTAGGCATTTCTAAACAATCATATAAGATAAATACAATACTTGTGTAAGCTTTAGAAAGACTCATCACAATTCAAGGGATCACAACCCTTGTTTCTTTTAGGTAGCTTTTTTTTGTTGTTGTTTTGTTTTCCACAAGGGCCAGTAATAGCCAGAAAGAACTAGACACGTGGTACAAGCTGAAAATTGTACCATTAGGCCTAAAAAAAAAGGCCTAAAATCAGTTACAACCATTAAACATTAAAAGGGCATTGCAACAATTTTTTAGCATGGTCTGAAAATGTTGCTGATCGGTAGTCGGTAGTCAAGACTCCCAAGAACATTCGAGCAAAACATTATAGCGCAGCGCATGGGATAGAATAATTCTTTAGTCATCCAGAAATCATTCCCTCTTCTCTAAACAAATTATGACATGAACACAAATGACTGTGCCATAAACCCAAAATGCACGGCGGTAGGCTAGTTTGAGCATTGTGAGCTGCATAGCTACCATGGCCGCCACAGGATGATCTCACGTCTCTGCACCCGCTATCAAACTGAAAGTAAGCCATGTGCTCGAAGAAAAAAAAACTGCACTTAAGGTCATAACGTGCACTAACCAAAAAACACATCTTTTTGCCCCCTTGTCATCCGCCTCCCTTGGTAGCTTTCAGCATGCTCACTAGTATGAAAAGAGAGAGAAAGCGCTTCGGAAGTGTCCGACAAACCCCTGTAACTGTTCGTACTTGACAAATTCTAAAAATGTTTGCAGCAGTTTATTTGTGAGGCACTAAGCTCCTTTAATGAAGTCATTTGACAATTACTTGGAGAAGTGTTGCATGGCCGCTTTATGTCATCACTTTCAAAGAAATTTGATGCTCCAATTATGATGCATATGCAATAAAGGAGTCACATAAATCGAGGCATAAAAATCTATTTGATAGAGATACCATCGGCCTGTCAGTTATATTCCAGTGCTTGAACATCTTCCTGATCCATATTAATACACCAAAAAATCATCTGTCAGAAAACTAGAGCATACTTCAAATATACATCATCAGCCACTACTGCTGAAATAAATTTAAATACAGAATATCCTCATTGCAATATAGAGCCTACTGAATAAGTGTTTTCAATGGTGACAGATATTTTCTAAACGGAACACCTGACAGCTCACAAATGATGCAAGTTTTACTCATCATGCCTAACCACAATGCATATGGGTTATGTACACACAGAATCTATACACACTAGCTCATATCATCGAAGCAACAATAACAACCAAAAGCATACCTTTTCAGCACATCGCCGAATCACATTTCCCAGTTCAGCCACGACAAGATCTACACACTTGATGGAAGGCTCCTTCAACTTGGCAATCTGCTTCTTCACTATAGCCTCAAAAGCCATATCTGGAGTAAACAGTCCAACCCGAATGCCATGTGTATTGCGAATCGCAAAGGCTATCTCTTTGCGTAGCTCTTTTTCATCAAATTCCATCTGAAACAACAATCATATCATCTTATAGAAAGGACCGTGTCAAATTAGACAACTGATCAAACTCAATTCGAAGACGAAAACAAAACAAAAAAACAGAACTTTGCCAACTCTGCCCACCTTGACAATTTCAAAAGGAAATCTTTCGTGAAACAATCTGTTGATGCGGGCACCTCCTGAGAGCTCTGATGTGTTGATGGCAGCAGAGCCAGAACCTTCAATGTTCCGTTCAAAGTCTGTCTGAAGTTGCTGAATCATTCTGAAAGAGAAGTTCCAGAGTTTAGAAGGTGCATTAGCACAAAAACACAGATACAGCAAAAACAGCTCCTCTTGGTACAAGCAGAATAACTTATATCACTACCTCTCTTATTTAAAATTTCCCATTTAATTACGCAGTTTTCATATGCGTGCACTTAAATTCTGAAAACAAGTCACTTGAAATTTATTGAGAGAACCATTATTTTCTTCTTTTTTGTTTCCACAGGAGGTTTAGAAATGGTACTCACTTCTAAATGTTTATTCCTTCAAAAATTACTAGTTAAACCAGGCGTACTGGTTAGACTCGTTAAACCAAGCTGCTTGGCAAAGAAAACAATATTTAACAACAATTAGTTTTAGAGGCTGCAAGATGGCATTTTATATACAAGGTGCATTGTGACAGGGATGCAATGAATTATTTGAAAGGCTACATGAATTTCCTTAGTACAAGACTACATTTGCATATCCCCTACAGGTGCAAATTATGATGCACTGTCTTTGATTCTAAGACATTCAATGTCGCATTCGAAGAAATAAAATGCAGTAATGTACTGTTTTTCATGAGTTTCAGTAATTGAAATCAGCATGTAATTAAACGCTTCTCCATTTGCAGTCTCCTCCGGTGCCAGCATCGCAAGCGCCGGTGTTCTCTTGGCATGCGTTGTTATCCTGTGTGCCAACATTCCGCTTGGTTCTCACGCGTGCTCTTCAGTCTTTCAGCGTCTTTACGAGAAGATCTTTCGCCGTGTTCACGAAACACTGATTGTTGTTCTCACTAACGATGGGTAGGGCCAAGTTTGGAACTCGGCACGCGTTCTGTTTAAGAAAGCCTCCGATAAAGCTCGTACACATGGCGAGGATCGTTCACGCGCCAATGCTTGGGCGACAGTCGCATAGATGCTGAGCAGCTTCACCATCTCTTCAAGACGACGACTGCATTGATACTTATTGCGACATCGAGAATCGGCGCAACATGCCGCCGTCACAAGTGAGGCTGGTGTTGGTGTCCCGTGCTCAAGTGCGCCTGGTGTGTTGCGCTCGCCAACTGCAATGATTACGTCCCCGAACAATGCGACAGCGTCGTTGACTGTGCATTTGCCAACACGTTTTTGGACGTGCGAGGAATTAGCCGCGAAGGACAGCGAACGTGTTGCTGCGCAACCAAAGCTCAGCGCTACGTCGGCAACTGACGGCGCTATGCTGGCAACGGAGAAAGACCCTTTCCGTGTGAAAGACAGCTGCAACACAAGCAGGAAAAGCGGAAAAGGAAAGAAGTCCTAAAGAACATTTCTAGCTACTTTGCGGGGTCACTTTAGACCAAGATATGTGTTCGAAACTTTCAAAGTCTATTTTCTCTGAATGACTTTTTTGGCCAGTGAGGCCTGGTGATATCTCTGTAACCGCTCATCTGATTTCTATCAGATTTGTTTTATTATGTACCCTAATAAATAGACCACACACTGACAGAGCAGTTTTTTTAGATTTATTGCATCTGTAATTTGTGATAATTGAAATTTCATTGATAAATGCTCAATGACAAGCACCAAATTCAGTGCTCTGCTAAAAACTTTCAGCAAGGAAATTAAAACAAAGGACACTGTCCTAGTGTAAAGCACCCACCCAGGAATCCTCACAGTGAATTTTACGGTGCTAGCACATTTATTGGGTTCACCAGAGCCTGACTTCGAAACATATGTGGACTATCCTGATAAATGGCTGTAACTTTAGAACCAGTAAACCTAAATGCATAACATTTTGTGGGTATTCAAATGGCTTTATTATTAGCCTACTCTCAAAATTTAATTAGGATATCTCAACAAACAAAAAAGTTGCCCTTTCATGGTTGCCTCTCCCCGTAAGTTGAGACATTGACTATGCAGAGAGTTCGCTTTGCCTAGTGCCACAAGTTGAGGCTACTAGCATAAATGAGTTACATACACCAATGTAGCTACCACCGTTGAAACGGATGTTCAATGCAACTCTGGTCTTGAGTTACATAGGATGTTATCGTACAAACACCTCACATTTTAAATATTCACCTTGCCTCCTTCGTCACAAAGCAGCCTTATGAGGAGAAAGCAAATGTGATAGACGAAGTGGTACAGTCTCCAGAGGATAATTGGTTTCTTTGATAGGGGGCAATATATTAATAGCAGAACATAATGCTTAACACTTTCATGTTCACACCTGTTTCCATCAATAGCCCACTATAGATGCTTTCCAGCTTAAATATTATTGTGCTCCAAGCATTTTCAAAAAACTAATGCCATCCAGTGAAAAAGACTTTTTATAGCCCACTTTTATGTTCATATTTTAAAGTGCTCCCAACAGCCAAGGGTCACAGGTCCAAATAGCTTCTGTCATGGTATTAAGAACCACACAGCTTCTCCTATTTGAAAAACTTGGATGGATTCGATACATCTGCATCAAACACAGGACAAATGTAGTAGCACGATGTACCAAGTCCATGTAGATTGACATACGGTTTGTGTGGCTGGTTGAGAACTACCTGGATCAGGACAACACTTATTTAAAAAACTTCTATACATTCACATTATTGTTCCATCGTTCCAGTGATTTTGAAGTGCAAGAGCCTTGCCTACGGCACTGTGAAGAAAGATAGAGACTTTTTTAGTGGGCTCAAAGACACCCAAAGAGACAAAGGCAATTAGCTGTTCTCTACCTTCAATAGAATGCTATAGAATGTTGTGCACATGATGTAATTAAATTCATAAATGTAAAATTAAGAACAAATGTTAATACGTGGGCAGGAGCTTTCGCAGTGAAGCCAACATTCATCAATAAATACAATGTAGGCATGCTGCACAATGATAATCAGCCTAAGCAATCAACAATAAAATCAACAAGTGGCTATTGTGAATATGTACATCAAGCATATCTGCAAAGAGATTCCAGAGATAATAGAAAAGCGCTGGCACTAACTGGAGCATAGCCTTGGTCTTGCGGGATGGGTCATCTGGGCGAAAGTTCTTGTACTCTTCCACCTCCTTCTCCATGGAAAGAAGCTGCTTCTGTAGCTTGTCCCGGAGGCCTGGAAGGGTGTCTCGAATGTGGTTGGTCAGTTGTTGGTTCAGCACCCGTTGGAGGAATGGTGTACCCATACGATCAGCCATGTGCCTGCACAGCACGAGCGATGTCACGGTAGGAATTTCTTATTAAAGCAATACTGATGCGACTTATTTACTTGTCGAATTTTCCATACAATAAACAAAGGTCCCACTCCACTAAGCCAGGAATAGGTAACATTTAGTTCCAAGCCAAGTAAAATTTCGTTCGAGCGAAAATTTTGTAGTGAAATCGAAATAATATAGCTGACCAGATCAAGCAACACACGGGAGCTATTATTCCCAAAATTCCGAAAGTGTTGGCTGCTTCTTTTTCTTTCCCAGCAGCGCTATGACAAGATTCTCACACATGCATAGCAATACTATGTTGAAAGGCATGCTGAAACAATGGCCACAACGGCTTTCGTGAACGAACCTCATGGTTGCACTAATATGTTAACATCAGTAGCTGTCTGCCGTCAAATGATATCCGACAACGGTGAGATGGAGGTGTGGTATCGTGGAGCTGTGACTCATGCCTTATTCTACGCTATTCTACTCATCTGCTAGTCGCGGCTGGCCGATTTTGTTGATAACGTGGACAAACAGTCGCCCTGACATTGACCACATTGCCCAAGCACGAAAAGAACCAAAAGCATTGACATCGGAAAAAGCATCGTTCCGCAATTGCACCCAGCAGCAGCGTGTTGAAAACCGAACAGACAATCCAAAGCGGAAGCTTCGGATTGTCTGTGGCTCATATGTAAGCCAGTGGCAAAAGCAAGGCAGCGTCATTGCCATCGCTATCAAGCAATGGCGGCCCCTATGTTTAGCAAGCACTGGCAGTTTCTGGTGGTGCCAACGCACATTTTAGAGTTCGTAGGCATATTTTCGTCTTCTGAAAATGCATCATAATGTTCAAGATTGCGTTTACTGCACACCATTAATTATGTGAGCTGGGAATGGCATCGTCAAATTTCGTTGAAATGGAACGGCAGAAGAGAAAGTGCTCGTTGTGGCGAGAATATTTATGCTTTGACTCCTATGGGCTGCTGACGGGGAACTGAGAATTTTTCGTTGTAGCAGAAACTTGATTGAACCGGCATTCGTTGTGGCGGAGTTCGACTGTCACATGCTCAGCGCAAAATGCCCTTGCCACCAAGTCATCACAGCCGGCAAGGATTACTGCCACAATACAGAAAAACGTATAATAGGGAACCCAGACCATATTTATATGCTTATATGGCCCCTTTTCTTTAAGAGGACACACTGCTAACACTTTTTGAGGCGATAAAGCACACTCATGGTAAGACAAGTGTAGTCTCTGAATGAAATCACACCAGTATATCCCTGAACTTACCTATATGCAGGATGACTAAGGAAAAACTTCCGCTCTGCTTCCATGGCTGCCTTGATGTCTTTCTTGCCTTCTATGTCCTTCTGGCTCCTGTTCACTACACCCACGTATCCTGAAGAAGTGAAGACCACAAAATAAGCATATCCCTCACCCCTCCTGTTGCAATGAACAAATAACAAGGTATGTCTTTTTACCTCTCCTCAATGGCAGCAATTTGTTTTCTAAGATATCTCTGGCATCAGTTCCTTCATCCATAAGGTCCAGCTTGGTAATCACACCTATGGTGCGCAGACCTACATTAAAGAAAAAAAGAAGCCATAGTATTTTTTTCTAATCCCAAAATGTGCGAGCAATTTCAATGAGTGCATGTGAAAGTATGTTGAAGACATGCTGTCACATACAGACTTGAGTTAATACACACTGCAAAACTGCATATGCAGCAGCCTACACACCTGTAAAAGCTCAGCCAAAAAGTGAGATGATGACATCACATGGATGCAGCATCTTACTTTACTTACACTAAAAGAAAGTTTCACCATTGAACAAATCCAGTGAAGCACTGCACATTAATGAAACTAGTGAAAAAGGAGTGCACAGACAACAAAACTATTGAGCCACCCCATTGCGATCAAGAGATAGTGTTTTAAACATGGCAGCCACAACATGGTTGTGGCTTTCACTGTTGAATCTGGTGCTTCAATTAACCAAGGACAACCTTTCAGATTGGTAGCCATGATAGAAAATCGTCACTAGGATGGGAGTTTGGACACAGCCCAGGCTGTTATAAAGGCATGTTCTCCATGAGTCTAATATATACATTTTATAGTGTCTTACAATGTGCTGTAATAAAAGATTTATCATAAATAATTTTGTAGTACTAGTGAAAATTATACTGAGAAGGTGCTGCAGCAGCAGGCTAATACTAGCATGTTCTCACTAGAGTCATTTTGTGATGGTTCCGTTAATACTTCAATAACTAAAGCGCTGTTGTTGTCTGTGACAGTGATGCTTCAGGTGTACTCAAGTACCATTCCCTCAGTGTAGCCTTCGTTGATATTTGCCTTTATGTTCCTTTTAAGAACCGTGTGTAGAAAGTTGAATTAAGGAGGTGACATAAGACCCAGATGTACTTAAAATGCTGAAGTCCCCCGTCAATCTCAACCTGTAGTTTTTAATGCCTGCACTTTTAGAAACAACTTTTCACCCACAAGCTTTACTAAGCTGGAAAAAAAAGAGTGAAACAAACAAGCATTTTTCATGCATTTAAAAGAAAAAAGAAAAATAAGATTAGTATGGTAATACAGACCACACTAAATTAAATGGCAAACATGCAAGCAGCACCTGAATACAGCAAGCCTTCACAATTCACTTTGCATGCCACATTCTCTGACACCTGTGTATTGTATCGTTATGGCACGATATCTCACGAAGTAAAAAAGCGAGTAGTATTCAGAACCTCATGCCCAACCTTCAATAGCCCCAATTCGAAATGCATGTTTTTGTGGCAAAATGATTGGTTTCACTGTCAATGACTCAACTGTAATTACAAATTCACTATGCCGACTAAATTATAACGTTTTGCAAGACTTCCAAGATATAAACGAAGTTGGCTGAACAAGCCCTTCATCTTTTGATGCAAGTGCCAAAAGCTCCTAAATTACTCTAAGGCTCACTTTAAAAACTGACTAAAATGCCCCTATGAAACTGCCAAAGTAGAGATATTAACACCTTTTTCTTTAAGACATACAATCTCAGCATAAAATGTAGTCAAGTTTCCTTCAAGTGCAAAAAAAATAGAAATTGCTAGAACTGCAGCAACAATAACATTTTTTTCGAAACAGTATGTAAACACTAAACCATCTAAAAAGTAATGGATACGCTATAAAAGTGGCTTCTATTGATCTAAAACAAACTAACATAGGTTACCAAAAAAAAAAATACAGCAAGCCAACACTTGCCCCTTTTATAGTTCTGTCTAGACCACTTCCATAAACAGACCCTCATTTAGAAATATTTCACAAATACAATATTATATGCATCAGGTGCCAAATAATTCCAACACAATAACTACAAAAGACAAAATATTGGTTCATATTACAGGTCACTATCTTTATTAAATTAGGCTGCTTGCTTATATACGTCCAGGCTGATGAACTAAAGTACCATAGAAGCCATTCTAAGTGGCACTAGCCATTTTGAAAAAGATATCAAAACCATCCCTAAGATCACCATGATATTCTCTCTCCTAACTTTAGTAGCCATATCAATCAGTCTATAGGGGTGAGACGGCAATATTTACAGGGGTGAGGCGGCTGAGACTAAATTGGGAGCAGTTTTTGGAGCAGCAAGATTTCAATTTCGGAGCAGAAGAATTTTGTTGGGAGCAGTTAGTGACATTTAATACATTGTCTTGTGTGCTTGAAAATACAAATTTTTAGCAAAGTGGCAGCACCACTGCATATGTTTATTGCTTTATAATACACGTAACACCGAAACAGATTTCGAAGAAAGTTTTTAAACAGATTATCGCCAGGTATGAACTGCACTACCTTTTTACATACCACGTGACCTATCTGGCCCTTGTAACAAACATGTGAAATAATATTTAATAAAAAAAAAGTTTTGTTAAAGCTAGGTTCCCCGGAATCATTTAAAGAGAAAAATGCATCATACTCAAAAAGAATTTTAAAAATTGTGATTGCACAAGAATCTTAGTTCCGTAACAGTGGTCCTTTGCTTGAAAAAAAAGCCTGATGTGATAGCGTCAAGAGCTTTCAACAGACAACAAAAGCGCGCTGCACCGCTATTCGCGGCCACCTCGTGCAGGACCACCTTCAAGACTGCAGCTCGGGAGCCAAAAAACCTCACCGCACTATCTCGCAAAACACATGCCTATGACACTAAGTGATAAGCGAATGATATGATAACGCCTCTCCACCCGAGCAACTACGCATTATTAATACAGCACATGTTGACCAGTTCTTTTTTTTTATATATATATATAGTAGGTCATCAGACTCTTAACCGTCAATATAGAACTCCCGATAATACATCAACTTGCGATTGCCACTCTGCGACTCGCATAAAGCGTTCCCGCAGCACAGATAAGAAATTTGTGTCCACGCAAACGAGCTGCCGAATGTACACAGGCCAGTCTTATTGCATAACAAAAAGATAAAGTCAGACTGCCACCGACCAAAACACCAATCGAGCTAAGTCTAATAGCATGGCCCAGAGTCGGCATGCATGCAGCGACGCCTCTTGAAGCGCACGTTGAGAGTTTAGATCACAAAACGGAGCAGTGGCAAATCATGAAAACTGTGCCATGTGTTCGCTGACACATCATGCAGCGCCGAGGTGCCCGTTCATATCGTTTAAAATGGTTTCAACACGCGTTCTGCCACCACGGCTTCACAAACAACTAAGTGTTTCCTCTACCTGCAGACATCTATGCGCGGATTTCGCATTTGATGGCTTTTATAAACTGCAAAATGCAATGAGAACTCAATTCTCTAAATAAGTTAGTAGATAATGGACGTAAACTGGGAATAGGCTGCACGCATTCTATCGCTCATGGAACCCATTTTGAGAAACCCATGTGCGCGCACCAAAGCATCCATACACGTCCCATGCCGGGAAATGACTCTACATTTACAGTTACTTGCTCACGGCAAACACACATGCGTAGGTGACCTTACGCAGCAGCATCGACACGAAAACCACAGAGACCAGAGGAACGTGCTACGCACAACAAAGAACCTGAGAGTCAACCCCGCTACGCTCGCCTCTCAACTTTATGGTTTTCACAAAACGACAGTGGCACCAGAACACACAGTCCAGCTAGTAGTAGCACCACACTCGATGCACGGCAGCACATTTTTGCGGGGTCACGTATATTTACAACAGTTTAGAGGAGATTATGGCGGCACCATGGGAGCCCTTCATCACTAGAAAAGTGCGAAGTAAAAAAAAAACGCGATTGGGCGCATCTTAGTCAACTCGGCCTCTTTTCCCACTGAATCTGAGGTTGGCATCAAAACTCTAGCGTTCAAGGCTGTTTTGGAGCAGTTCGATGCAATTTTCGCGATTATGCTTTTGGAGCAGCTTGGCGCAAGAAAACGGAAATGTATCAAATATGCGCAATATGCGCAGCTGTCTCACTCCTGTAACTCCCATTCAATTGTGGCTAAGACATCACATGGGTCACCAGACACAAATGTGTGTGCATTCATTTCAGTCCCTGCCAAGTATATTGAATGCTAAACTACACCACAACATTTCTGGCTATAGTGATGGGTTAAGTAAATGGGTCATTTTATATTTGAAACCAACAACAGGCCACCTATGTTGCTGTTTAACAACTACTTGAGCAACTGAGGTTAGTATTAGCACAAACCAAACCACTTCAACTTGTGCACACACACACCATGCCAAGACTGGCATGGTTGAGCTAACCTGACGGGTCTACCTCCAAGGCCAGTTTTATCGCATCTGAGGTGGCCAAGTCCTGATTTGCTGGCGTCACAGCCAATATGATTGTGTTCTCCCGAGAGGCATAGCTCAGAACCAAATCCCGCACTCGCATCTCGATGTCTGGGGGCTGATTCCCAACTGGAACCTTAGTCAGCCCCGGAAGGTCAATCAAGGTCAGGTTCAGCACTGCCCAAGGCCAAGAGAGAAAAGAGAAGAAGGGAGAGTTAAAAATTTTGATGGCTATATACCTTCTGGGTCAACTTCCTTGGCAAGCTTCAGGGCATCTGAAGTAGCCAGATCTTGATTGGCTGATGTGACTGCCAATATAAGGCAGTTCTCCTTGCGAATGAACTGGAGAATCATATCCCGGATCTGTTGCTCAATGTCCGCAGGCTGATCACCGACGGGGACCTTAGTCAACCCCGGAAGGTCAACCAGGGTCAGGTTCAGCACTGAGGGAGGCCAACACAGGGCACGAGAGCAAGGAGATGGGAGATGCAGGAAAAAGTGCAGGATATTCATGGTTAGTGGGACATTGGATGATTAGCAAGGTGACAAGCAATGAAATTTATCTAAAGCCAGAAACCATGTCACAAAGAATCTAATGTCATAATGACAGGGTTTAAAGAAAATGGTGTTACAGCAGTGTCATACTGGAAGTCAAACATTAATATGCACATGATTTCTCGGTACGGTAATCTAATATAGGACTTAAAAATGCAAGCAAAATCCTGGAGGTTTCTGAAGGTCAGCGACACTAAAGGTAAATGTTACATTAACATACATTATAAAAATACTACTCCATAAACCTCAGACTACTGCTTTTGTGTAAAAAAAAACTAGGGGAAAATTTGATTCGATGGGTCTGCATACATATGTAGCGCGTTCCAAAATACCCGCCCCGATATGGGGAGAATGGCCTTGCATATGCCATTATCACCTTTTTCTGCCAGGGAGGCAGTACTATTTTTTCTTATCTAAAACATGAAAGCAGAGCCAGAAAGTGAGCTAATGACATCACATGAATGCACACTTTTCTCTTACTTGCAGTCAGAATGAGCTTCACAATCAACCAAAGCCGGCAAATAAAACCACATTAATGAAACTAGTAAAAGGGAAGTTGGTGGTCAACAAAACTTTTTAGCCATGGATATTGTCATGAAGAGATGGTGACTTAAGCATGGCAACAATGACACACTACCACCTACCGCTATTGAATTTGCTACTCGAAGTACCCAAAAGCACAGATTTTAAGTTGAATAGCTGTTACACTGAAACAATTGTCAACGGAATAAAAGTTAGTACGAATCCTTGGCTAATGTCGAAAAATATTTTCTCAGAAAAGTTAATAGAACTGCATCACTAACATTCTATTCATCTTACAATGTAGCAGTAATATTGTTATTAGAAGTACTAGCAACTAAAATTTAATGTGGTCACGGTAGGTCACTGAGCTTGTGCCTGCTAAGCTTGATCTCCCTTAAGTGTGATTTCCTGTCCTCCACCAAAGACAGCAATCAATGTTGATTAAAATATTGATATATCAGACAATATTAAGTATTCGTTATCCATCAGTATAGCCTAAATTGTTACTCACCTTTAACGTCATTCATCACATCAAAACACATTATATTTCAAAAACATCTGACATGTACAACTTGATTGAAAGCTTCCACAGAAGAGTCACTCATGCAGTCACATTTGGGCAATGAGCAATTTGTTAACTGGCATGATAGCATAACAAATTTCAGTAAGTTAACATTACCAATACACCCTCTGTTCTGAACGCTGCACACAAAGTCTAGCTGCTTTCTTACCATGCGGTGAGTAGACCCTGAGATTGATGGGCACGCTTGAAATGCCCTTGTTGTTGCCTGTCACCCGATCTGTTTCATCTTCGATTTCTTTGCGAATTGCATCAAAATCTGTGAATTTCTTGCCACGGCAGTGCAGGAACTCTCCATACTCTGAAACCAACATAATTGTTGGGGTTTTACATCCCAAAACTACAATATGATTACAAGACACTATAGAGGAGGAGGGCTCCGGAAATTTCAACCACCTGGGGTTCTTTAAGAGCACCTAAATCTAAGTAGGGGAGAGTCTGGAGGTTTGGGGCAGTGTGTCTATCTGTCCTGCAGTTCCTTCAAAGACATTAGCCAAAAACTCATGAAATGCTTTTAACAGACCAATTGCATAGATTCAATGGTGGCCGATTCAGTGAGTGGAGCTTTCTGTAACTGGAAATCGCCTTTTTCATGTGTCAAAAGTAAGTTTATGCTATAACAATTGTAACGTTATCACATGTCAACCATTTGTAGAGACTAATGCCACTTCTTTTCCGAAAACATGCATCAGCCCTTTACTTTTTCTAGGAAAAAGTTTAGGCATTAGGACTGAACTTCAGCTGCTAAACGTTGTTTACTTTGGGGAATGTAGTTAGGTAGGAACGGAGCAGTTCAGTTGGAGTTGTCTAACTGCCACACCGGCTTGAAAGAAGTCCCTATACGTACATTGGTGAAGCATACGATTGAACAAGTATTCACAGAAGTTGGCCCGAGTCTTCAAAAAGGAGCACAGCACAGTCAAGACTACCACCACAGCCTAACCAAAAAAAAAAAAAAGAAGAAATGAGATTTACTGAAAGTTGCTGTTCTTTAACCCTTTGAGAGATAATAGGAAAAATGTGTCCCACTTTCTCTTCAGTAAAAGCTTTCTCCACGACTTCGTGTTGTCATCAGTTCAATGCTTTTCCATTACAGTATATATGGAATCATTCAGAAACCAGAAAAATATATTTAAAACATTTACAATGCATGGTATTGGTGATACCTTCAGTTTAATTTTGTTTTGTGCTGGTGAACTTTTTTGTACAAGTTGTGTCACATTGAGTGCAAGATAGCTAAAGTTCTAGATCTATGGTTTTTTTTTTTCTTTTCTGAATCTTGAGAGAAATAATTTAGCAAGCAACTATGAATTTTCTTTCGAAATTGGAGCAGTATATTGACACAAAATCACGTTGGAAGTGCACTTGACAAAAGGTGAAGCAATTCCTTACTTAGCCTAGCTAGATAACATGCACTCGCAGCTCTTTTTTCCCAGTTAGAAGGACATTAATGCGTTTAATGCGTAATAAAACAGCCCTTTCTTAAGGAGAAGGCCCACAAGTCCTTTTCTATCCTTTTTTTACCATTAAGAGAGCTGTCGCAATTGGACCAAAAGCTGCGGCTGAAATGCTGCTTCTGCAATTGAGGGCCAAAAGAAAAGAATGACAAAAATTATGCTTTAGACAGCCAGGAAGCGAAAAGGAGACAAATGTGCAAAATGTATGAGGAAAGCTAATATCTCAGGCCAAAACGAGTTCACGAACCTGAGGTAGCAGCATAAATGCATTCAGTGACATCACGACAAGGTAGCTTGTCATAACTCATGACCACAATTTTATATATGGAAAGAAATTCAGGCATAACTGAGGTATTCGTCCTAATCTACACCTAACAGAGAAAGAAAGAAGCTAAAATGGTTGATGCATGCGAAGATCTCAAAGTCACTGGGCTGAACACAACAGGCAGAGGCGCTGATTGTGTACCACATCAGGAAATAAGGTACATCATGAATCTTTGTTTGCATAGTTATTGAAGTGTGTCTCTGTACTGCTTACATCAGTACTTTTCATTCTAGAAATTAGGCAAAAGGATTACAGCTTGGTGCTCTCGTGAGACAATGGGACAGGTGCTGTCCCACTTTTTCAGACACTTCATGGGTCAATGGGACAAATACGTCCCCCTTTTTTCTCGTAAAGTAATGGTCATGTTTTGGTGAAACTTGCTTCATACTATTTTAAGCACGCTATTTAGAAATTCCTCAGGCATAATTTCAGCTGTGAAAAATATTGGAGAAACCACAAAGGGTTGAGGGGACATTCTCCTCGAAAGACGAAAGTTTTTTTTTTTTTTTTTCAAAAATTACACATTTTTGCTTTTACTTCCTTTCACAAGTTCAGTTTCTCTACCTTTAGACAAAAAAAAAAAAGTTTGTAAACTTGAAGTACCTTAAAATTATTTATGAAGAACACAAGGTGGCTATTAAAAGCTAAACAGAGCTCATTGTTAAGAGTCCCCTGAACATTGTCACCTGGCTGTTTGCCACTGCGTTTCGCATGAGGAGTTCACTAAAGCCGCGTGCTCAAAATAACCATGATTCCAAAGCTCTAATGATAGAAGATATTTTAAAAATCATATATGCATATATATTTGCCACATGAATGAGCTTTCATTTTTACATTTAAAAGAAGTTTTTCTCTTGATGCAATTTCGGGCAATTTTTTTAGTTTGGAAATCATGTTTTTGGTACTTCTGATGGCAAGATCGGGATGAAATTTTCCTAATGGAGCCATTTATGGCTTATAATTAAGTTTAGTGGTAGGAAAGGCCTGTCTGAAAAAACTACATTTTACGCATTGTCGTATAAAATATCAATACAAAAACTTACTTTAAAATTACATATTTGAAATCAGCATAAAAGCTTATGTTCACAGCAAAATTTCATTGCCCTATGCTATAGATTAGACAAACATTTTTTTTTCCGAGTAGCATCTCCCTTTAAGCCTTCTGAAAACTCACTTGCCGCTGCCTTTGAAGAGTCTGACGACATGTCAGATTTTGATAATGACAGACATCACATTTGTGAAATCAATATGCCTAATGAATATAATAAAATCAAAAAAGGCAATGTTTGTATTATTTAGTCATCACTGCCAACTTCTATGCAAAGTCGTAAGCAGGAGTGGGTTCCATTTGATAAGTTTCCCAATGCAAGAAAACAACAGTAGAGACTTAGAAAAAAAACAATGTGCAGGGAGAAAATGAAGAATAGAAGTTTACAAACACTGAAAAAAGTTGATGCAACAACGCTTTCTTTTTTGAAGAATGCACCAGTTTTGCTAAAAATGGCACGAATATCAAATACATCGACACAATGAGTGAAATGTGCACAAATATAAATAACCTAGTGCTGAACATAGTAAAGCAATACAACTCAGGTACACACAGTAGAGATGTGATCCAGTGAGAATGATGAAAAAAAGGGGAAAAAATATAGAAGGGATGGCTGGCGGATTCGCTATCACATTCATGAATGAAGAAACAGTTGTGGATGTCGATTTCAGTAAAAAAATTGGGTATTCATTACATGGCTAACGTCTAGAGCAGTGGTAACACTTTAGCGCCATTGCACAGTTCCTGCAAAGAGCTTTCAGTTCTACTTTCCTTCAAAAGATAAGGTGATTTTATCAATTACGAACATTTGGATGAAGCTGTCAGTGTAAAAAAAATGTCAGTGTAGCAAAGTTTGTGCAACTATGTTTAATTAATGATGTTGGACTATCCTCTTATAGTTATCGCTGAAGACACTTGGACCATGGTGCTACATACGTCCCACTCCTCCCAAGTGCTGTCCCACTCTACCCACAGAGGTGGGTAGAATGGGCAGGGTTTTAGCCATCACAAACTATTTTTTCACAGCTGTACCAGCGGGAGCTACTGGAACTATACTCTGTTTCAACACTTCGGTTTAACTCTACCAAAGCTACGGGGTGTAAGAAAGCTACGCACTTACGCAGCAAAACGTAGTCCCACATACAAGTGCCTTAAAATATACAGGGTTGGCTAGAAGTGGCGTTTCTTTAGTGTGTTTCGCGCCACATCGATACATGACATGTTTATTTTTTTTTTCATTTATTTCGTATGCATTTGATTATTTGTGTCGGTTACCGCTGATAACTGTGTTTACAAATCAACATGGCAGCACCCATGCTGAAATGACCGCCCGCTTCGATCCGGACTTGCTCTTACTGCATGCCCACTGCCCTGACAGCAATAAATAAATGGTGAAATCAGCCATCAATTTGTTTCATCTCACTCTGGGACTAATGCATCAGGTACATTTTGCCGATATTAGCGAGATATGCTGCTTGCTTAGCCATACCTTCTAAGCCTAACGCATCAAGTCAGTGTTCAGATAACATTGGTTCGGACTGCGTCGTCAGACCAAGAACGCTGCATCTGCAAATATCGGACATGCAACCTCACGCAACATTCCGTGCGCGTCAGATCCTCCTTCGGTGGAAACTCTAGTGAACTAGAATAGTCTAGTTCACTAAAATGGAATCCTCCTTCGGTGGAAACTCTAGAGAACTAGAAGAGTCTAGTTCACTAAAGTGGAAACAAAAAAGAGTGAAAAGGAGCGTTGCAGCGGGAGACTCGAACAAACGCGTCGATGGAGAAACATACATACGAGTGGCCCGAACAGCGTCGAAGAGTAACAGCCACAAATTGAAGTTACCCACCATTATGATATTCTAGCAGAGCAACAAATTCATGCTTCTTCAAGTTCTGGGTGTAGTGTAGTTAATAACCTAGCCAAAATAACTATAATTCGGCAAGCAGTTGTTGTGAATACGTTGAGCAGACGACACGGCGTGAATGAATACATGTGCAAGGGCTAAGCGTCATTACTATTGGCTGAGGGGCCTGTAGCCTACACAGTGCTGAAGGGAACTTTTGAAGCAGAGTATAGTGTGTGTCTGAAGTATTACAGCTTGTTTAGACCTGTATTATGATTCATAAAAACTCGTCTTCAAGTTAAAAAAACTAACATAATTGTCAAAAGTTCCCTAATCCTTTTGACTCTCCTAAACACTGCATCGAGCATTTTTGCCTTCCCCGAAGATACAGCTGCCAAAGCCAGGGTTCAATACCACGACCTGCGGGTCAGCAGTCGAGCGCCATAACCACTAGAATACCGTGGTGGTTGAAAATGAAAGAATAAGCCAGTATCTAGTAAACAGCACTCCCAACTTAAGAACTTACAAGAACAGCATCACATGCAAAAACATTTTATAATATTAATATGGCCATTACCTGTATTGCAGTTTATCAGCTGTAGCACCAGTGGACGACGAGTGACAATTCCAGACCCTCTTGGTAGAAAGTCCCTAGAAATAGTGCACACGATTTTAGCCTCATCACTATTCTACATAACGGCTGACATGAAACAACACAAGTACACACAGCTTAAAAATGGCAGCCACACATCCCATTCAGCTGCAGTATGCAAAAATGTGCTAACAAGTTTTTACTCTTTCTGCTATAACTTCACACCTACCGATGGCTTCGAGATGCATTCTCCACATTTATACATTAGGTGCTTTCATGTTCAAAATGTACTGGTGGGTTAGTTGGTGGACCGTTATAGTTTTTGTGCATATCTCATTTTACGTCGTCCTTTCACCCAGTGTGTCATATGCTACATAAATGTCCATTGGTACAGTCAAGACACTGTGTGGCAAGTTATAGGTCTTTTTAACTGCGTTGTGGCCGCAATGTTCTCATGGCTGCAGAAAACTGCTACATAAATGTATTCCTGCAGTTCACTATACATATGCGTTCTTGAAGTATTCGGCTATAAGAAATGTACCCCAGCATTGAGCCAAGGAAAGCACTGTGCTTGTTGCACTTAGCAGAAAAATTCCTGCAAATCATTTTAGTTCGTCAGCACAAGTGCCAGCTCAAAGGTTTTATGTATTTATAGATTGCTGTAACATGGATTACCATATATCCACCAAGATTGGTTGACTGTTCCAAAGGGCCCCAATAAAGAGATTTTGGGATCCATTTGGATAAACAGGAAGAGACTATAGTTGATGTCAGAAAATACACATGGCTGCACATGCCTGCACATTTTAAGCACCTTATATAAGCTTTCCGTAGAGCTTTGTAATGCATCATCATGGCTGAAGCCCATACCCTGTAGTATGAAAATAATGTTCAAATTCATTTCTGAGGATATCGTGATAGAATATCTTCTGAAGGATATTATGACCTAAAGAGGATACTGTAATAATGTTTGAACTTTGAACTTTATTTATTCCAAAATACCATCATTCGGGATGCTGAGGGCCGGGGTCAAAAAGCCTTTTCACGAGCTTCACTAGGACCACAACCCGTACAAAGTGGCAGGGATAGGCGAGTGTACATTATGGTATAAAATAAATCAGACAACACTATGTCGCTCAATTAGAACTGTAAAGGAATGCATAAACATTTACATATGAACATATATAGACAGATAATGCAAGTGAAAGAGATCGAAAAATAAACCTTTAAAACAATGTACCAACTTCAATTTTGATTATCACATAAAAGATCAATGAGAGTGTACAAATGAAAAAAAATACAATGGCATCAACACAGGTAGGACAAAAACGCATCTCCAGCAATATTTTCACAGTGTTAGTTGATTCAGATGGAACGGCAATAGAAAGCGCAGCATCTCCTTGCCATACTTCGTGCGTGGAAGAAACCACGTGTGAATATGACGAGTGTTATAAAAAAGGGTCCGCCGGTTTATGCGAGCAAGTGTGTCCAAAAAGTTATCACTTTTCAGTCCTGCGTAATAGCGTTTCATAAGACTTGTTTGATAGTAATCTGGTAGGGTTAATAAGTTCATTTCTTCAAAAAGCGGTGACGTGTGACTTCCATACAGAACATCTGCAATGGCGCGAACTGCCCTTTTCTGTATGACATGTAATTTGTGAATGTCCGTTAATGTTGTTGTGCCCCAAACCAGATGACAATAATTTATGTGTGATAAGAACAACAATTTATAGATGAGAAGTTTTAACTTTTTTAGGAAGCAGGAAACGCACCCTAGACAAGATTCCAGTTATTCTGGATAAACTTGAAGACAGCTTTTCCATGTGGGAATTCCATGACATATGTTGATTCCATGACATATAACATATGTTCATTACACCTAGACATTTAACACTTGGTACTATCTGAAGTTCCGAGGTGCCAAGCATTAACGGGGCACGCAAAGGTGGTGGTTTATTTCTAGGCCTAAAGTGAACAGCTCTCGTTCTTGAAGAGTTTAACACTTCTTAAGTTATAGGCAAGATAGCCTGAAGAAACACTAAAGAGAAAACATTTTTCTGGTATCATTCCTTTACATTACTAACATAACCAAGCTTACCACAAGACATACCCTGTGGTATGAAAGTAACGTTCAAATTCATTTCTGAGGATATCATTATAGAATATCTTCTAAAGGATATTGTGACCTGAAGAGGATACTGTGATAATGTGTAACACTTCTTAAGTTATAGGCAAGATAGCCTAAAGAAACACTAAAGAGAAAACATTTTTCTGACATCATTCCTTCACATCACTAACATCCTTCACATCACTAACATAACCAAGCTTATCACAAGACGCTTGGTAAGCAAGAAAATGTGCTACAAAAAAATGCGGGTACGGCGTAAAGTTCCCCCACTAATTACCTTGACATCATAAATTTTGATGGTGCCAGCTAAGCCCTACATCATTCCTAAACAGTAAAATTGAAATACATTGTCCTCGGAGTAGACCCGAGACTTATCACGCCAAGTTTCAGATAATTTCTTTTTGCCAATGTTGCCAAAATACAAAAATACACTTTGAAATCCGTGACATTACAAGGACATTTCGGCCCAAAATTCAAACGAGAGACTGACCTCGATTTTCTACTCTATTGAAGCTATGATGGTGAGATTCACGGCATTACAGTTCCCAGTAAATTTCATTATCCTACATCAATTCAGTGTTTTCCTTCAGTGCCCACTTAAAAATGTGCACAAATGTGTGCAAAGTAGAGTTGTCAACCTGGCTTTTTTAAAACTTGGTAGTGGCATGCACATCTAGTGGAGATATCACTGTCACGATTTTTTCATTAAAGCTCGTTCAAACCCCTCAAGCACATAAACACACTCACATCGCCGGACTACAAGTGACAAGCTTGCCACCTGAGAAGGCTGCAAATGTGGATGCACACTGAAAATCAAGCAACTAAAACGATGGAAACTGTAGTGAGCTTTATGTGCTGTTACACCTATTTTTGCCAAAATGTTGCTCTCCTTTGTAGCATGTTCATAGACCTAACCAAGTTGACAGCGAACACAAACAATGTGAAGTGTGCCAGGGACTATGTGCCAAGGGCACTTACATTTGTCCTACCACACGAACTGATGCTGCATCATTACTGCTACTGATTTCTTCGCTAACCAAGATTTAAAAGCTAACCTGAAATGTGGCAACCTCTAACAATGACACTTTTTATGGGCTCTTTTTTATTTCAGCATTTGTCCCGATTTCTATCTTGAAGCTAGAGATCTTATTTCTAGTAGACTCTGCTGCTTAGAGAATCTTTTACCACAAAGAGTTTTCAAATCTGTCAAGCATAAGTAAAGTTATCAGCGTGACACCACCCTAACACTGCGACACTCAATGAACGACCACTGCACCTACACAACATGCGGCCTCCAATACTGTACACTGGCACACCATTCATGAAATCAGCCAATACTGTGTAAGTTTGCAAAGACTGTGACATGAAATGTTGATTCTCTGCTGCATGCAGAGGAATAGTATTTGGCTCGCATATTCACAGAAGCCTTGATCAAAGACCTGCAGTGTTTTCTTATTATGTACAAATGTTGCATATCCTCTTTACAACGCAGTGAAATACATGTTGAGGTATTTTTGCATCAAACCCCCATCAAAATGCAGCTGCCATGGCTAGAAATTAAATGCCCAAAAGACAATGGAGGATGACACATGACTAATATGTATGTTTTTTTCGAGAGGGCCCTTCACACTACATCCAAAATCCTTTGAGTTACTGGACAAATTAAGCACAGCTCTATGACAGAAAACTGCACAAAACAGGACGGCACCTTACCTGATAATTAGGCTGCATTACAAAATTTTCCAATATCTAATAGCCATGTCAGGCAGTAAAACATTCACTGCAACTACTCTCGAATACAAGCAACTGAGCACCACCACAGCTGCCAGCCACCAATATGGTCATCGTTTTCACACTACCAAATAGGTCTCCGACTCATTCATCGCTCTGTATCTCTATCCCAGTACAACTGTCAGGGCAGTACAATTAGCATGGTCTAAACTTGGGTACAATTTAAGAAGGCAGGAGAAGGCCAGATGCCCACCCAGAAGGCCCATTGAATGCCTCACTCATGACTTCATTATGGAGTGTGCACCCATTGGTGCAAGCTCAAATTCTTATGTCTTTAAGGAGATAATACCACTGCCTTCTAAAGTTATACTCGGCTATGGCGTTATCTCTGTCTCACTTTACATGCATTTGCCTATGCAGCCAGCAAGCATGCTAAGTCTCCTAGTGGCAGTGCTCAGTAGCAGATAATTCACACAACCACCAAAGGTCTAAAACATGTTATTGCAAATGGAAAGCTATACTATATTTTACTAACAAACAATTTCTAATGACGTGATTATGATTTTATTAACCCTTTTTATTCTTTTATAGCCTTCACCACACACACAAGCACACTTATCCCATTCCATTTAGGAGTTTTATTGCTTTGCCCCACATCACCTACATCAATAGAAAACTTTTCATGGCCACCATACTGCCTTTCACCAGTAAAACTAATATTAGCACAAATGCTTGAGAGCATGAAAGAAAAGCCTAAACCTTTCAAACACTTTAATCTGGCTATATGTCACGGGTACTAGGTAAAGGAAGGAAGGAGGTTAGAAGCTCAGAGACTGACCACACATGCCACCCAAAATGAGTGTGTGATATGAGCCGGCAGCGTGTTTCAAGACATATGCAGAACACTGTAAGCCTGCCAGGTCCTGAAAACCATATGTGAACAGTACCTTTTTAATGTTAGTTACAAATGGCTCAATAAGCCAAACTCATGCACATCGCAGTCCATGAAATTCTATCATAAATCTCAGGACTGCTTGTCAATATTTCTGTACTGAAAGAAATTACACATTAGGGTCGCAAATGTTTTATGCTTTAAGAAAGAGCACAAGGCATAAAAAAATTATTCTCCAATATCAAGTTAGCCAAGAAATTATGTGCAAGTATAGAAATGAAGTACAACCCAAACATGACTTGTGGGAT